ATTTACAAGATACTGTAAATAATCATAAGAAAATTGTCCCAGGAAGAAAGGATGACTTAAAACGGGTTCTAATTTTTGTTAACCCAAACAATCGGTTAATCGACTCTACGATATTCAAAGCTCTTTAGATTGTATAAATATAAAAGTGTTCCATACTAAAAAATAATTATTATGTGCGGAGATCAGACACTTTTGATTGATCATACAAACTTCTTTAAAATATACAATTTTGTGAAAGTTTCATTTTCATTACCATTGCTTGCAACACCAGTTTGATACAGCCTGCTTCATCAACAGCCACACAAAACTCTTGACGAACAGCCAGTGAACCAATCGTAAGCATTAAATCGGCCAAAATGTTAACATCCTGAAACTCGCCCAATAGTTGTGTCAGAGTTACAATGAACTCGCCAGCCAATTGACGGGCATGTTCATGGGCACAACCAAATTCAACTCGTATATCATCATCCAAAACCAAAAATCGTAGAACAGCCAAGACGTCACGCAACACTTTGCCATTTTCTTTCGATACATAAGGTTTCAAGTGTTTGACAATATCGGCTTTCATAATATTCTGACGATTAATTTCATGCATAAGACATGATTTCTGTAGCCATTGCAGCGTCAAGGAGACAACCTTTTCTTTCCCAGCAAACAGGTCGAGAAGAGCTTTCACGTATGTCAATGCTGTGGCATCAAATATATCTGGCTGAATGTGGTAGATACTATTCAATGTCTTCAGAGCTGCCTCCAAGAGATCCGTTTCAGTTATTGCGTCTGGCGTTTCCAACTGTTGCCCCAATATTTTCAAAATATATGTGTGGGTTTCGTGTTTCGCTGCCAACACTCGGTGTGGTATAGATTTTTGACATTCGGCATCAATGACCTTTAATAGGTCCATTAACTTTTCTTTGTCTGTGGATTTTTCATCTAAATACAACTTCAATTGTTCTATTGTTTCATTGAGTATAGGCTTTCCGGTATCAGCATTGATGTCCAAATCTTTAATTATGTTAGCCAAATTGATTCCCTTAAACAATAACAAAACAAAGCTTATGAGTCATAAAGTCGTTGGAGTGTAAATTATTAAAAAAAAACATCATCGCACGGTCTAAACAACTGTTGAGCACTAACATCCATATACTTACTTGAGCTTCGAATTGTTTAATAGTTTCCTGTTTAGCCTCTTCGGGGTCCATTGAAAATTCGATGATATTCTCTTTGACGACATCATCGAAAGTTTCTTGCGAAATAACTTTGGCAGCCATTGCGGTTCTTTCACTTTCAAGTTTTCAAGTAACAAAGAAAAACTAAACTCTTCCCCTAAATTCTTAATAAAGTTGCACTCACTGAACTCGCTACAACCCACACACGTCGTTTGAATGCACTTGCAACTATTATTAACACAGTCCTCTTTCTGGCACCTATTGAATATGCATCTAATGTATAGGTGTTTTAAATTTTACATTTGTTTGAATGCAATATATTGTTAAATATGTTTTAATTTAGAATTTTTGAATTTTTTATAACAATTAGAAAAGCAGCAGAGACAGACTACAAAGCCGAACAGAAGAATATGTGGAGCTGGCTAGCTTGTCAAAAACATACTGTCGGTAGGATTGCCATGTGTCTATTTATTGAAGCTTATGGTGGGAAAACAATTCTCGTGATCCAACACCTAACGTATACATTTTTTATATCCTGCAAAATACATAGTATGAAGCATGGTAAAAGAATATATGAGACGCATCGACACATCTGCTGGGATAATGAACTTTCAAACTAATTTTGGAATTGAAAATGTTGAATGAAGAATTATTTAAATTTGTACAAATTGTTAAAAAAACGCATATTATAACAACCTATGAATGACGTCGTGTAAGAAAACATATACAAATCTACTTATATTTGAAAAGACATTTAAAAATTTTTGACATATCAATGTTCTCAAGATTTGATGCATCTACCTGTATTCTTCTACCATGGTATGGAGGGTATATTAAGTTTGTCATTCTTGTCATTAATATCAATGACAGGAAAGGCAAAGACGAAAAACGAACATTTCCGAAAACAAATTGCCCTTTATAAATGTATGAGATAAGTTCAAAAGGGAACGGAACTGAATTTTTGTTCTATGAAAAATTGAATTAAAATGAGTATAAAGAAAACAAATGCCAAATTATCTTGGATTCAGTAAAGTGGAATAACCCCAATATTTCATTCATGTTTTTCCCTCAAAATAAAGGTGCAGATGAATTATTCCTATATCTATGGCCCGTTCTTATATCTGTTCTTCATAGTCCACTTTGGTTTTCCCTTACTTTAGGAAAATTTAAGGATAAAGATCACATTATCAGGTTCTCATTATTACATACTAGCTGGCCCGGTCTGCGTTGCCGGCCCATACTTTTAGACCTTAATGCATATTTTTTGAAGCACAATAAATAACAGATCTGATTATGAGTCTCAATTTTTATAATAAGTTATGACTCTATCAGGCATGTCACAAAGTCGTATCGAAAAGGTTTGAATTTCGCAATTCAAAATCGTACGACTTTGTTATACCTTCTTCAGATTTCGTACGATTTGGTGAACTACGAATTCATTGTAAATATGGCAACATATATTCAATATGGTAACATTGGGGGAATGAAAGAACGAATGAATCAAAACAAATGATTAGAAAATATTGTACAAGTGTAACTTGTGAAAAATATTCTGTTACTGACAGTTTTTGTGCAAAAAGAAAGTTTATTCCATTATTTTTTACGCAATGCCGATAGTATCGATTGTTTCTGTTACTGAGGCGCAAAGTAATAAACGCAATACTGAAAAAATACGCCGGAGGAATTTAAGAGATGCTTCGGACCGAATTTCTGCGCCTGCCCCTAAAATATTAATTAATGATTTGTAACAGTTATTTTTGTGCGGACATGGTACTTCGGTCTTAGGCTGCGGCTTAGCTCGCCGGAATGGGTAGGTTCTTTCCGCTTCAACTGAACATATAAATTTGTGTACCATGGGTGTTATTTTTTTTGTAACGGAAATTCAAATTTAATTTTAAAAATAAAATAAATACAAAGGAAACGGATGTAGTTCGATTTATAACCAGATTTAGCATTTCAATTCAAAATAAATACAAATGAGATTTCCATTAGGTGAGGTTTAGATGGTAACCTCGATGGCTTTTCCCTCCCCATATGACTATTTCAGTCATCCTTGGTATTTTCTGTGCCATCAGACTTAAGTGAAAATACCCCAAATATAATTAACCACGCACTAACAAATATTCAACCCATTACTTTAATGTTCAAAACATTTTGTTAAAAAAAAATATTACTCAAAATATTTCAATATTTAAATTAAATTTATAATGCATTTTTATTATTATTATTCTTAATATTTAATATATATGTATATAAAAATTTTGTTATTATTTATAACAGTTTTTTTTTTTTTTTTGGTCTCAACAAAAATAATTTTTGGTTTCCTTAATAATAATTAAACATATAAATTTTGTATTATATAATAATAGAAAATTTACTTTGATATAACAATTTCTAATTGAGTATAGATATTTTGATCAGAATTTATATTATTTATTTTTATTACAATTCTTATTTTTACTTATTTGGTTTCTAAATATATATATAATTTCAGATTTTTAATAATTCTTATTTTTTTTGTGTATATATATAATTTAGAATTTGTTATATTTACATATTTTAGGTGTAATAGATTTGTGTAAATAATATTATTTGTTTGCAATATTTATGTTATTTATTATTCTTATTTTTATTATGGTTATATATATTTTTGTTGTATCTCTAGATAAGTTATATTGAACTTGAAGAAAGGTTACATTTCATAACCACGTGGGTCTTATATAATATTTTTAGGTTATATTTAGGCAATACTTCATTTACCTATAATTTTATCTCCAATTTGCTGTTTTTTTTTATTTATTTGTTGATTTTTAAAATAAATTAAATTTATCAGGTTTTTCTTCGGTCTACCCTAATGTTTTTATAGCAATATTCATATTTTTAACGCCTTAACATATGCTTTACGTTTCAACTAAATTTTGAATGTTTTAATTTTGTGTCAAAATAACCACGTGTGAAATATGTGATTGTTGCGTAGAGATGGAGCTTATATCATATTTTATTTTGCCAATTCACAACAATATCTTGATTTAAGTATACCAGTTTTAATAAAGGCAACTTATTGATCTAGATGGTGTTGTATGGCACTTTTTGATATATGTTTGATGATTGTACTCACTTATGATAATCTCCTTATGATGAGTTATACATATATATAGGTATCTTATTGTCCGAAATTAATGCCCAGAATATGTGTCTCCATTTACAAGTGACAATTTGACGACTGCCGCGGTGTTGAAGTCGTCAGAAATTCACTTCTTTCTGCCTTATTTGGAGAATAGGTATTTCAACACGATATTCTATATTATAAAAATGGCACAAATTCCCTGACGTTAGACACTAATCAAAAGCAAATTATTTTCGTTTTATGTTATTATTCTCACCTGGGCAATTTTCAATATTTCTTTATTAATATTTCAGCATTAAATTCTCCAATCTTTAGTTTTAATATTTTAAATTTTTATTAATTTAACTAAAAGAAAAAAAAAACGTTTTATAACCACTATCACCATTACTCAATGTTTCAAATTTCACCTTCTAATTTTAATAATTGCTAAATATCTTAAATGTTAACCTTATTGTAAACCTTCAACGTTTGAAATGAAAGAACAATTTCAAGGTGACTTTGTGAAGGTTGGAACTCACATGCTGGAGTTTTAGAGATGGTACAATTGGTTCCTTTTTCTAGTGGTATCAATTTGTAGTGTTAAGCATTCTATATAGATGGCTCTCTAGTAATGATCATGGCAGCATTTATTTTTCTTGTGTTCAAGATTTATTAATATGAATTAATAATGCTATCATATTTTTAAAAATTCAAATAATTTAAAGCAGGTCAAGGATTATTTTATTAAAAGCTTTTTATAGCAATTGTTAAAGCTTTTTTCCAATTGTTGTCCAACATTTACTACGATTTATTGGAAATAAATCTGTTGTACGACTGCGGTGTAGTTACGACCAGATAATATGCAGATGGTAAAAATACGATTGCAGAATCCCTACTAGATAATATGAACTTGGTCAAGATACGATTGTGGCATCCCTATAATGTTTACATTTGAAACATCAAGCCGCTAAATTGTAAAATAAAAAGTCATGTTGAAAAATATTAAGTGAGTTGCTCATCTCCACAGCCCAAGGGTGGCTGTCACAAAGCCAACTCTTTTCGCGCAACCTGTGTAGTGTAAAAGAGTTGGGAATATCTATATGGAAGGCAATAAGAAAGGTAAGTATAGCAATTCCACTCACAACATGTTGTTAATGTTTTTTTTTTTTTTTCTTTGCAGGTATTAAGGGATGTATGTTGAAATCTTTGGATTGGCAAGAAAATATTTACATTAGAAACACAACAGCAAAATTTATCAGCCAGGATATAAAAATGTATTACATTGTTGTTGTCCAATGTCAAAGGCAATCGGAAAACTAGTGTGTTTTGGTGTCAAAGGTTTTGTTGGATATTTGCAACAGGCATTTGTCTTGGCCAGAAATACAACAACATAAAGGAAAAATGGATAATGGAGATTTTAGGAAAAGGAGAAGTATTTTCCAATCAGTTTATTTGTTATATTAAGATTGTAACAAGTGTTTGTTTTGTTTCCAGGTACACGTTTATGAACGTATGGAATGCATTTTTTGGTGTGCTATGAATGACGTAGAATGTGAGCAGGTATATTGGCTACTCTACTCTATTGGTCCAGTTGGGAATTTATTGCGGATGTGGTAAGTCTATTGGAGATACAATGTTTGTTGTTCATTGTACTAATTTCTGTCTTTATTTTTATTTTCAGAAACATTCATGGAAGATATATGAAATATTCAAGTTATTGAATACTGATTGTAATAAATGCAATATGTTTTACAAAAAGCAAATGATTCTACGGCCATATATTTACCCTACATAGTAAATGGATAGATTTTTACCTGAATGCAAAGAATAATGTGTGTACTTGATTATTGACAACTCAATATTTTTGTTTATTTTTCAGGTAGACGTATTGAAAATGACAAACTAAATGCCTTATATATTCAGATGTGTGGTGTTGTGTGCTTGTAGATAATAACAAACGAACATGTTGACGGAAAAAGGAAAGTATTATTCCAATTGAATTTGTGTTGCCATCAAAATGTTTATGAAGTTTCTTTTTTTTTAGGTAATCATTGACGGAAATCTAAAATCTATGAGAATATTGACAGTTGGTTTCATGCGAATATCGTTATAGTAAATTGGCGAATTTGAAGATAAGTATATTTTGAAATTGATTATGCTATTGTTACTAATATTTTCTTTCTATTTTCAGGTTCTGATATGAAGTTATTTCTGGTTATTAATAGTTTTCTTTCTTTTTCAGGTAGTTGCAGAAATTATTTCATAATGGATCAATTGAAGGGAGCAATCAACATAACAACAAAATATACTGTAGGTTTTGGTGAGAAAAGTAGTTATTAAGATTAATATTAGTTATAAGAGTAGGTGCTAATACTATTGCTTGAGGTGTTGTGCGTGGATAGTTCCTATTGGATCGCCTTTAAGATTTTCAATTTGGTATAGGCAGTTTCCTAGGGCTTTTCGTATCCTACATTTAATCCACGGTTTACAGAGTTTAGAATTTATACCTTTTGCAAAATTGCTTTGCACAAAATTCTTTCGGAAGACTTCCTGTCCAGGTTTGTAGGTTATAAATCTACTTCTCTTGTTATATGATCTTGTGTTTCGTTCATAGGCTTCATGTATCTTTTTGTTGATCTTGTTGTGCATTATTTGCATTTGGTCGGATTTAGGTAACAAAACTATTTCACCGTCTTCTAAGGCGTTTAGTTTCTTTAGAATCTTGTATGCATCTGCATGAGTAATCATTTGATAGCCTGTTAAAGCGAAGTATGGAGTTGTACCTGTAGAAGCATGAATTGTTGAGCGTAGTGCACATTCAATTTTGGGCAACTTTTCATCCCATTTTGCGTGATCTTTCTGTAGGTAACTACGAATGCTACTAAGGATTGTTTGGTTTACCCTTTCGCTTGCATTAGATTGTGGTGCATGTATTGCAGTACGAATGTGTTGTATGCCAAACATTTTCATTAGCTCTTTAAATGCTTCAGAGGTAAATTGTTTTCCATTATCTGAATGGATACATTCGGGAACTCCGAATTTATAAAATACCTCTTCGACAAGAAATTTATTTACTTGAGAAACGGTTGCTTTAGTCATTGTTTTGAGCAAAACGAATTTAGTTTTATGATCTAAAACTATAAATATAAAACTCTTGCCTGTCTTTGACCTGGGGTAAGGTCCTAAAAAATCAATGTAGATCTTCTGAAATGGTCGTAATGTGACCACTTCGTTCCCCATTGGAGGTCTAAGTGTTTGTCTAGGATGCTTTATTTCTTTACATGTATCGCAATTTCTTATAAAATCCTTTATGTCTGTGACCATTGAAGGCCAGTAGAAGTACTGTCGTATGTTATGTATAGTCTTAGCTATGCCACCATGACATGTGTTTATCTCATGTGACTTTTTTACGATTTCGTTGGTCAAATTGCTTGGTAGCCAAATCTTCCAACAAGCGTCCTCGCTTTCTATATCTATCGTATTGAATTTGACCCTTTTGTAAACAACTCCTTCTTGTACCTTTAAGTCAGGCAGTCTATCTTTATTTTGCTCGATTGTGTCAATGAGACTTAGGTAGATTGGATTCTTGAATTCCTCTGAATCAAAGTCTATTATGGATGTTGTGTCAACAGAAATTTCTTCCATGTCTAAGCGTGAGAGCATGTCAGGTACTACATTTTTGGTTCCCTTTCTATGTTCAATTGTGAACCTGTAGCCTTGTAGTTTTAAACTCCATCGCGATAGACGTCCATTCAAATCTTTCTGTCTCATCAGCCATTGTAGACTTGAGTGGTCAGTTATGACTGTAAAGTCCATCAATTCTATATACTGTCTGAACCGCTCAATTGCCAAGATGACTGCAAGGCACTCTTTCTCTGTAGTGGAGTAGTTGCGTTGGGCACTGTTCAATTTCTTGGAGAAGTATTCGATGGGGTGTTCACCATCGTCGTCATCCTTTTGAAAAAGAACAGCACCAACTCCGACGTTCGATGCGTCACACTGCACAAAGAAAGGTTTTGAGAAATCGGGGCTGGATAATACTGGACTTGAGACTAAACATTTTTTTAATTTTTCGAAAGATTCAATTGCTTCAGGGGTCATTATAAACTTCGGAGATTTCTTTAAGGTATCTGTTAGAGGGGACGTTAAAGTGGAAAAATCGTGAATAAATCTACGATACCACCCTACAGTACCTAAAAATTTCCTAACATCTTTCTGGTTTTTGGGTGATTTAATATTCATTATGGCTTCAATTTTTCCTGGATCAGGTTTTAACTTGCCTTCTCCAACAATATAACCAAGATATCGAAGTTCTTTATAACAAAATTTAGACTTGTCCATATTTATTGTTAAGCCAGCGTTTGTTAGTCTATCTCCTACAGTCTTGAGCATTTCTATATGTACATCGAAGTTTTGGGATACCACCAATAAATCGTCGAGGTACACAAATACACGGTCTTTCAACTCTGAAGGAATCACTTTATCCATCAGGCGGCACATCCTTTGCGCAGCATTGCACAATCCGAAAGGCATGACCTTAAACTGGTAATGTGGCCTACCTTGGACCGTGAATGCTGTCAAAGGACGGCTTGATTCCTCCAAAGGAATTTGCCAAAATGCGTCCTTTAGATCTATTGCTGATATGAAATGCGTATCTCCGAGTCTAGCTAACAAACCTTCGATATTAGGCAAAGGATATGCATCTTTACGCGTCACTTTATTGAGTTCCCTTGCGTCCAAACATAACCTGTTTTTATTGGGTTTTATGACCAGTGTAACTCTGTTGTTCCATTCTGCATTTCGTGCTATCTCGATTACATCCAGTTCCAGCATACGATCTAACTCGTCGTACATGAGTTTTTGTACTGCGGGACTCACTGGGTAATATCTCATCTTCTTAGGAGCTGAATTTCCAATATCGATGGAATGCTGTTCCAGATGAGTTTTCCCTAGACCGTACTTCGTATAGCACCGAAATGAGAGCTTGGCGTTCTCTAATTTCACATTTTGTTCATACGTAAGATCATGCATTTTCCTTTCCTCGTCAATCTCTAATACTTCTTTATTGATTATATTTGGTTCAAACGATATTTTTATATTAAATGTTTGCCAAAAATCGTACCCTAAAATGAGACTTTGTTTCAAGCTAGGAACTAAGTAAAATGTCAAGTTTCTAACCTCATTTCCACATTTTACATCACATTTAATTTTTCCTACAATTTGTTGTTGCTTGCCGTCTGCTGTTCTTAGACAGGATTTAAAATTAAAAATCTGGGCATTCATTTTCTCAGCATTTTCTATGCAATTGCTACCTAGGCAACTTATGGAAGCTCCACTGTCCATCAGACCAGTGAATTCTATTTCATTAAGTTTCACTTTCAAATAAGGCCTAATGTCATTATCGACTTCAAGGTATGCTGATGCAATAACTTTCCTTTCTGTCTTTCTTTTACTATATCCTTTTCTCGCTTTTGCAACTCTTTTACTGACTTCAGGCACAAAGTCCTTGAATATTTCAGCCCTTTTCTTATTGTACTCTTTTAATCTTTCTTCATACGGAACAATAGAAATTAGTTTTGTTGTTGTTGGACAAATTGATTTTGCAACATGTATTAATGTTGGCTTATTGTTGAATGTCTGGGTAGTAGTTGTTGTTGGTATGTCTGGGATCGATTGTTTTACTGGGATGTGTCCTTCTGCGAACATGGATTCCCAGCGTTCCCCATGCTCTTGGAGCGGTTTCCCATACATCTAGGACATTTAGGTGATGTAACTCCATCGAACCCACATTTGTAGCAAAAAATATTTCGCTGTTCGACTTCACATTCTATGTAAGTGTGACCTGCCTTCTTGCAATTCCAACATGTAATTTGCTTTGCTGTTGTTGTTGCATGGATTGCTTCAACATCAGAGGTCGGGTCACAAGAGTCATTGTCAAATTCAATCTCATGGATTCTCCTAAATTGTTGTTGTGGTTGCCGATAATGCATACGCTTCGAAATATTAGCCTCAGCCCTTCTACACTCTTCTATAAGGACATCAATGGATTCTATATTCCTTGCATATATTAATTGTACTAGTCCTTCCTTCAGATTATCTTTGATTATTCGGACTATTTCTAATTCAGGGATGGGAACTCTCATTTGATTTTTCAATTTAATAATTTCGGAAATAAAGATGTCGGCAGTTTCGTTAGGAAGCTGTCGACGCTCTATGATCTTTCTTTGAATTTCAAAATCAGATTCGAAATTTCTAAATTTTTTTATTAGATTGTACTTCAAAAATTGCCATTCGCACAAAGGATTTTGCTGACGGAATTGCCATATCCAATCATATGCTCTTCCTGCTAACAAATGATGAAATCCTTTGACGAAAACGTCCCAAGGACAACTGTAATCCACTCTTAAGGATTCAGCTCTGAATACAAATTCTTCAATGCTAATATTTTTTGACGAGCCATCAAATTTTAATCCCCATTTTTGCAATTGTAGTGGTGTCATTGGTTTACAACCAATTGCAAAATTTTGACTAAAGTTCTGGGAATAGTGTTCTCTATTATTATTGTTGGTTTGTTGCTGTCTCTGTTCGAAGTTATTTGGCATATAGTGAGAATTTAACGTTGGTTCTTGTTCGTACCTATTCGGATCTTGAGTATTGAAGGACGAATTTCTCAAGGAATCAATTGAATTTCTGACCACTTGAGGTATCATCACTGCTAATCTCTCTTCCATTGTTCTTAGAGCTTGGTTTTGAGCTATTCTAACAGAGGCAGTTATGTACTCTCTTAAACTTGGACCATCATTACTATTAATAGGGGCCTCTAGATTTATATTTTCTAATAGGGATTGTTGTCTAGAGTCCCTCTCAAATTGGTTTCGTACCTCTTGGGCAGTTGCACTACTAAATTCTGGACTACCTATAGCGGTAATAGTTCCTGGTGAGGATGTTGTTTGAAGTCCTGTTTGTGGTGGAATATTGCATGCCATTAAAGGTGGAATTACATTTTGGACAACAGTTTGATTAGCATCTGGTGCAGAGTTTGTTGACATGTTTGAGATGTTTTGATCTGAAGTATTATTGTTTGGCAAAGATTGGTTACCTAACGGGTTATTGTTTGATAGTGTTGGTCCCGAAGTGCTTGCAATATGTTGATTTTGAGAAGATCCAGAAGGATTATTTCTACTCGCTATTCTACTTGATGACCTACTAGGTTGTTGAGTTTGGTTCCTATTTGCCATTTTTGAAACAGTCAGTTATGAACAATATGTGGAATGAGTTTGAATTTGTTATTGTGTAAAGATAAGTTTAGGGGTATATATGAAGGTTTGCAATAATTATAAGTAGAATAATATTAACAAAATTTATGAATTTTTAATATTTTTGAATTTTGTTAATTAATATTTCTACTTATTTGGAATGGAAATTAAATTATAGGTATTTTGCTAATGAATTAATAACTTTAATAATAATTATTTTATAATGTTGTAAATTATTGTTATATTTCGTACAAATTTTTAATAATTAATATAATTATTTTTTTTTTCTCTTTTCAGATCTTTAACAATTCTGTTTGTATTGTTTTTGATTTTATATAATCTTTTAAATATGAATATAAATTTATATTTTTAAATTTGTTTTATATATTTTTCTTTAAGACTTTTTTTTTTTTTAGTTAACTTCAATGATTTTTTTAATCTAATATTTTAAATTATATATTTTATACAAATTAGATTTTTATACAAATTTATTTTTTTTAATAACTTGAGTAATTTTAATTTAAGTATTTTTAACAATTTTTTTAATATAAACTAAATAAATTTTCAAAAATTAGTTGCAATTACTTTTTTTAATTATTAGAAACAATATTATTTTCTGGATTGATGTTTATTTGTTAGATTGTGGTTTGTATTTATTTATTTTTGTAAATATAAATATATGTAAATATATATATTTCTAAATATTATATACAAAATGGAAATCTTTTACAACTTTTTTAATATTTTCCAAAATATTAATATTTTCTAATGTAAATTAGAAAATTAATTATTTAGAATACAAGATGTATTAGAATACTTAATAATGATTATATATTTTTTTTTATAAACATTTTAAATAAAGTATTTATTTTAAATCGAATGATGTTTCTGTCTTGTTAAATGTTATGTGTTTTGAGGTTATATATCGAAAAACATTTTGGGATAAAGAATTAAATGAATTATACCTATTGATGTAAATGAATATTTCTTTCGTTGAGGTACAAATAAATATTAAGCTATATAGCCACAAATTATGATACTGTCACGATTGTAATATCATTTTCATCGATTGGTAACTCGACATTTCACTACATCAGAGTATTTGTACAACACGATTTGACATTTGAATTGCCTTCCGGGATACCTATAAACTGATTGTAGCTGAATGAAGAGTTTGGGTTATAGGTGGAATACCAATTTTTTAAGAAGCCCCACGTTGGGCGCCATATATGTAACAGTTATTTTTGTGGCTGGTTTTATCAGTTGGTTTACATCATAATTAACTAATTTGCTTCGTACTGTTAATTATTTATAAGATATATTATTAATTACTTGTTTAATTTCTTCTCGTTTTTAAACTTGTTCTTAAAAGTTTAATAGCAATATTTTTTGGGGAATAATAATTAAACATATAAATTTTGTATTATATAATAATAGAAAATTTACTTTGATATAACAATTTCTAATTGAGTATAGATATTTTGATCAGAATTTATATTATTTATTTTTATTACAATTCTTATTTTTACTTATTTGGTTTCTAAATATATATATAATTTCAGATTTTTAATAATTCTTATTTTTTTTGTGTATATATATAATTTAGAATTTGTTATATTTACATATTTTAGGTGTAATAGATTTGTGTAAATAATATTATTTGTTTGCAATATTTATGTTATTTATTATTCTTATTTTTATTATGGTTATATATATTTTTGTTGTATCTCTAGATAAGTTATATTGAACTTGAAGAAAGGTTACATTTCATAACCACGTGGGTCTTATATAATATTTTTAGGTTATATTTAGGCAATACTTCATTTACCTATAATTTTATCTCCAATTTGCTGTTTTTTTTTATTTATTTGTTGATTTTTAAAATAAATTAAATTTATCAGGTTTTTCTTCGGTCTACCCTAATGTTTTTATAGCAATATTCATATTTTTTAACGCCTTAACATATGCTTTACGTTTCAACTAAATTTTGAATGTTTTAATTTTGTGTCAAAATAACCACGTGTGAAATATGTGATTGTTGCGTAGAGATGGAGCTTATATCATATTTTATTTTGCCAATTCACAACAATATCTTGATTTAAGTATACCAGTTTTAATAAAGGCAACTTATTGATCTAGATGGTGTTGTATGGCACTTTTTGATATATGTTTGATGATTGTACTCACTTATGATAATCTCCTTATGATGAGTTATACATATATATAGGTATCTTATTGTCCGAAATTAATGCCCAGAATATGTGTCTCCATTTACAAGTGACAATTTGACGACTGCCGCGGTGTTGAAGTCGTCAGAAATTCACTTCTTTCTGCCTTATTTGGAGAATAGGTATTTCAACACGATATTCTATATTATAAAAATGGCACAAATTCCCTGACGTTAGACACTAATCAAAAGCAAATTATTTTCGTTTTATGTTATTATTCTCACCTGGGCAATTTTCAATATTTCTTTATTAATATTTCAGCATTAAATTCTCCAATCTTTAGTTTTAATATTTTAAATTTTTATTAATTTAACTAAAAGAAAAAAAAACGTTTTATAACCACTATCACCATTACTCAATGTTTCAAATTTCACCTTCTAATTTTAATAATTGCTAAATATCTTAAATGTTAACCTTATTGTAAACCTTCAACGTTTGAAATGAAAGAACAATTTCAAGGTGACTTTGTGAAGGTTGGAACTCACATGCTGGAGTTTTAGAGATGGTACAATTGGTTCCTTTTTCTAGTGGTATCAATTTGTAGTGTTAAGCATTCTATATAGATGGCTCTCTAGTAATGATCATGGCAGCATTTATTTTTCTTGTGTTCAAGATTTATTAATATGAATTAATAATGCTATCATATTTTTAAAAATTCAAATAATTTAAAGCAGGTCAAGGATTATTTTATTAAAAGCTTTTTATAGCAATTGTTAAAGCTTTTTTCCAATTGTTGTCCAACATTTACTACGATTTATTGGAAATAAATCTGTTGTACGACTGCGGTGTAGTTACGACCAGATAATATGCAGATGGTAAAAATACGATTGCAGAATCCCTACTAGATAATATGAACTTGGTCAAGATACGATTGTGGCATCCCTATAATGTTTACATTTGAAACATCAAGCCGCTAAATTGTAAAATAAAAAGTCATGTTGAAAAATATTAAGTGAGTTGCTCATCTCCACAGCCCAAGGGTGGCTGTCACAGATTAACAGCATTCCACAATATATATTTCACATATTTTAAGATACATTTTTGTACCAAATTCTTTTTTGTGTGTTTTTTATACCCTAAACCACAAGGTGGTCAGGGTATTATGTCTTGTGCATTTGTTTGTAACATGCAAAAGGAAACGAGATAGACCCATAGTTCCTTTTGATGATCTGCATAGAATCACATTCTGAGTCGATTTATGCATGTCCGTCCGTCCGTCTGTCCATGTATTTTTGTAAACAAAATACAGTTCGCATTTATTGCCCTATCCAGATGAAATTTTGCACAAATCATTTCTTTGGCCCAAGGACGAACCCTATTGAAATTGCAGATAATCGGTCAAAATTTAGATATAGCTCCCATATATATCTTCGTCCGACTTGCCTTTTATTGTGCACCAAACGTGTACTATCAGCCCGAATAGTATGGAATTTTGCACATACAACCAAATTATAAGTATGCCAAGTTTGATCGAAATCGGTTCAGATATAGCTATAGCTCCCACATATATATTGTTCATCCGATTTGTTATTTTCGTCCTCCGCAGCCGTAATATGCACTCTGTAACAACAATATTTGTGGAAACCTATCAAATACAGTTCAGAAATACATTTGCTAAATTTTATCGAAATCGGTTCAGATTTGGATATAGCTCCCATATATAACTTCGTACGATGTACCTTTTATTGTGCACCAAACGTCTAATATTTGTCCAAATGGGATGGAATTTGGCACTTAAGATCGAATTGAGTCTAGAAGCTAGTACGTCAAATCGGTTCAGATATAGCTATAGCTCCCATATATACTGTACATCCGATTTGTTATATTTGTTACCCACAGCCGTAATATGCACTCCGTAACAACGATATTCAGGGAAATATATCAAATACAGCTCAAAAATATCTTTGCCAAATATATCTTTATCCGATTACATATTAATTGTGCACCAATGGGCAATACAAGTCCGAATTTAAAAGATACAAATGCTTCGGCATATTTAGTCCTTTGAACTTTAAATTATAATTATAATCATAGAGTGCATAATGGATATAAAAATCTTTAATTGTTATGCGGAGCTCTACTAAATTAGAAAAGTGGTGTAGGGTATCATAAAGTCGGCCCGCCCGACTTTAAGACTTTCTTTACTCGTTTTGTTTTGTTTGTTTTCTCTTGTTACATGCGCTGTAGTAGGGGGTCATGTCCATATGTGCTCCGACTAGCTTGGTCGCCTCTCTGGGTGTGGTCCCAACCCGTCACCCCTACTCCTGACATGCAGCAATTAAAATGAAGACACAACACTGAATACTACATTAACACAACGATGCATCACCTCCTATACTGGACCCCCAACCGATGACCAATGTCATGCCCACCCAACCATGATCAGTACCTCCTCTTCTTTACTTAACTGACCCCACAAACCGCCCACATCCATCACTTACCTCGTCCTTAATTCCTCTTTAGCTAACTTAACACGTCATCTTTTCAATCTTGACAAACATTCAAATCATTTTTTTTTATTATTTAAAAGAATTACTAATCCTAACAAGAAGTCGTTTATGCTTAATAAAAAAAAACTTACAACAATAAAAATACAATATATATCTAAAAAAAAATTATCACATAAAAATTTAAATAGTTGTTTTATTCTTGCTAAAGGGTTGTTAGGAAATTTTAAATTTTAACGGCTATTTGCCAAATTAAATAACGAACGGTCTTTTGACCATGAATCTTTTACCTCCAAAAAAGGTTTATTTCATGTCCAATTCCATGAACATTAATAGACAAGACTGAAATTACACTCGCAAAGCTATTTTTTTTCCGAATCCACAATGAACGTGGTTTTTAATATATATACTTTTAACACTTTCAAACCCACCCTAATAACCTCGACAAAAGAGCTCTGTTGCGAAGAAATTCAATGGGGAACAAAAAAAACTATATTGAAACCTTAGCTTTGAGAATGCTGAAAAAAAGAAAATTTAGACACGTAACAAACAAATAAACATAAATAATAATACTAATAAAATAAGTCAATACAAATAACTAAATCTAAATATGAATAATATTTTGACAGGAATAATAGGAATAATTTTTGATTTTAAATGTGATAAAAAAAATTTTAATATTAGGTCAATAAAAATTGTTTTTAAATGAAAATTGTAGTTAAGAATAGTGACGCCAACTTCTTATTCATTAATTTTACTTGCGCCACTTAGAATTTTGTTTCCAGGCTTTTTCTTATCTTCTGCACCAATCGTGGTAATAGCAAAAATCTTCCACCTTGGAAACACTGTAAAATTATGACAGTTTGTCGATATATGTGTGGATCCTATTGTGTCTTGGATCATTAACACAGCCAATTTTTTCTTTATAGGAATAAAGTGGTGCTGAACCGAGATCACGTGGAATGCTTGTATAGCCACTGTCCCGTAGATGGCGGTGGGGCAGATATACTGGTGCTATAAAAAGTTGGGAAATTATATTTTCCTACCTTTGCAATACCGGGATAATGTTTGTGATGTTTGGTCTTCACCCAAGAGATAGCGCTTTTCTTTCGTTGTTGCGCTGTCGTGTGTAAACGTGGCTGGCCTATCCAAGAAATAGGAATTTTAATATTTGGCTTAAACGAATTTAGCCACTTTTAATAATTACCTCAATGGCTTTCGCCTCACACTTATTAATTAATTTATCCACTGGGTTCACCGCAAAGACCAACAAAAATCACACAATCCTCCAAGCAAACCTAATTTTAAAGACTTGTTAATCATTTTTTTTTCCATTTTTCACTAATTTTCACACAATTATCACCTTTTATTTAAATTTGTAGTTCTTTTTTCAATTTAATATCTTAATAGTCATGAATATTTTTCACTGAACTTCCAATTTTCAGTATGAACGTTTTTTCTCGTTCAGCACCAATTTTCTAACTATTAACCTCTCTTCATTGGCTACTCTCTTTTATAACCTTTTCAGTGCGCAGTTGTAGCTTTCCACTGATGGACATTTTGTTCATTAGACACCAGTTATCCTTATCTAAATTAAATAAATGGTCTCTTTCTAGTGAAAATTTCATACTCATATTCGCCCAAAAAAATTAAGAGTCACAATTTTTCTCGCGACTGCTATCTAAGAGTATTTAACTCCACATCGGCAACACCGTCTCTACTTTGCTCAAGTTCCATTATGATACCAATTCCATTTGGGTTATCACTTCGTAGTGAATGTCATTCATAGCCATCTGACAACTGTCATTGTTTTTGGCATTAGTATTTGGCGGTGGTAGTATTAGCTTGCGTCGTTCCAATTTATTTTTATATTTCTACAATTAAACCATTTTATATTTATTAATTATTTCTTTTTTTCTTTTCAGCGGTTTTTCTGGTGGCGGAGTATCGGAGCCGGCCATATTTCTCGTGAACACACATCACTTTCCTTGGAATGTAATATGGGCTCACTGCAAGAATTTTGGCTGCCCCGACACTCTCCCACCGGTGATGTATTTGCCGAAATATAAGTCCTGGCCACCATTCCCAGGCAATACTAAAACCCCACGATCTCCCACAGAAAATAAAACGTGGCCTCAGATCTTTTGCCAGCCACCACCCAACATCACAGGCATTTTAATCGCCTGCATATCAAGAACAATTCTAACATTACTAACAAGGCATGGCTAACAATGACAAGTGTTACCCGCAACAAGTGCCTACCAAAACCTAAATATTAACACCCTTACTAACATCTAGCCCTTCCTAGCTTCCCCATCTTTAAAGGCACATCGGAAGCTAGGAATAATTTAATTCACCCGTGGTTTGGAGACCGCCACGAAGGCAAAAATGGTCTCCCCTAAAAAACCCCCCACGCAAAATTTTTTTTTTTGGGTGTCCAGGTGCGGACTTGGGCATTTCGAGGGCCTCGCAACACTCTTTGCTTTAGTTTATTATTCGTAATACCACATTGTTTGGTTTTCACAGATGAATCATTGTTGTTTAACGAAAAAATTGAATTTGCAACACTTTGTTAACAATTGCCTTCGTCAATTGAGAAACCATTAATATTTGCCAATTATTTTGAATAAAAATATTAAAAATGTAAATTTAATTGTGTATTTGTCCTTAGACAAAATTTTTATTACTTAAAAGTATTTTGAGAGTGTTTTAAAGTCACAAGTTTCCATAAAAATACAATTTCACTTGCAAAAACAAAAGTGGTTTTAAACCGAAATTATGTTGCGATTTACATTTTCTGAAGAAGCTGAATACGAAATTAAAATCACTTTCGTACCGAATTCATTCTTGTGACATGCCTGTTTACTATTTTCTAAATATTCATGGCAAAAATTATAATAGATGTTCAACTACCGTTGGTGTTACATTTTTTGAATATCCTGATCTTTTTCAGCCATAGGCTTTAATTTGATTGTTAAAAATCTATATAATATAGAACATCTATAATAGCCCCATGTGAAAACCCTGCTCAATTTTTGGTATTGTAAAGAGCCTAGCAACATTTTACATTGTGATTAGCTATAATTCAGAATGTGTATTTCCAACGATTAGAATACCGTGCTGCGTGGTATTTAGTTTGGTTCACCTCATAATTGAGGGCAGAATGATTTCAGAATAGTGAAAGATAATTATTTTTTTACACCAATTACCGTATGAAGGGAATTAATTTTTTTACCATTAAAATTGTGCGTTGGAGCCTCCATATATTCCACAGTTTTCATTCTAGTGTAATTCAATGACGATTGACCAAAAAATGTGCGATCCCGTGTTACTTTCTATTATTCGTAATTTTTTCATGTTTCTGCCACAATTTCCGACTGAATGAGTCCCAGTTTGACATTTCGGAATTTCTTTCATATAGACGTAAATACCTAATCTACGTTCGAAACCAATATTCTCTAGTGGGTTACACATTTAAAAGAATACAAAATTTTCTTTTCTGACCATACATTGATTAGGAAAGTGGATTTGAGGGTACACATAATGCGAACGATACTTACCTGTAAGATGGTTCTCTACCCCAGAATAGCCTAAATACAACTTTTTAGCCAAATCAGTTGATATATGTGGTCGAAAATTGTATGCGAAGAGGTTTTCTACTCTCTTAGAAACAAAGGGCCAAAAAATTGAAAAAAAAAACGGTCAAGATCCCGAAAATAGCTTAAATCATATGATGGTTATACTAAAACGTGATCATATTTTGTTTCTTCTCAAATTATATATATTATTTTTTCAAAAGTATGAAAATAAAATTAGTAATCGTAAATCGTGTCAATCACTGCATTTTTTCATAGTGGCATCTCCGTTTTAATCATGGTACAATGAATTCAAGGTAGGGCAGAACTACCATATGATTTAAATTTTTTTATTTTTCTGGCTTAATATGTCAACTTCATTTGCTTATGTGTGTGTCTTCTTTTCAATAATAAAAAATTGCTCAGAAAATATTCAAATTCGGTTGTTTTCAAAATGCTTATTGCAACGAATGCATCGACAAAATCTACAGTTTTTGTCGCGAAATAAACCATAAAAGATATATAGAACATGATATCGAAAAGAAATTTTGACCATTCATTCAGTTTTCGCGTTTTTAAATTATTTATTCAAAATCAATGCAACAAGTTGTTTGCTTTTTTATTGTTTTCATAGTAATTCTGGCATTACAAGCCAAACAGGTAGACCTCTATACTTGCAATTTTTTCAAAGTTGACCTACCTTCTCTTCATTGTACCATGGTTTTAATTAAAAATAATAAACAAAACGATTCTGTAATTAATTTCCATGGTAGAAGAATACAGGTTGTCGCATCGACACAGCTGCTGGGACAATGAACTGTCAAACCGATTTTGGAATTGAAAATGTTGAATGAAAAATTATTAAAATTTGTAAAAATTGTTGAAAAATTCATATTATGACAACCTCTGATTTGCGTCGTATAAAAAACATTTAAAAATCCACTTATTTTTCATAAAACATTTTAAAAATTTTGACATATCAATGTTCCCAAGCGTTGATGCATCTACCTACATATATTCTTCTACCATATTAATTTCGGAATATAAAGCTTCAATTCAGCTATTCAATATAAAATAAACGATTTGTGTTATCCATTGTTTTATTTTTTATTTACACATTTTGTGTATGTGTATATATAGTTTTGAATAAAAATTACAATAATTTGAGATTTTTTTAAATTTGATTCCCAAATTAATACAAATTTCCAACGCAAATGAGTGACAAATAGTACAATTTTGTGATAAAACTATATTGTCCTACTATTATTGATTCCATCTTGTGGAATAACCCCGAAATTTAATTCTTGTTTCTAGGGTTTTTCCCAATATAAGAATTTTGTTAAAAAAAAATTAAAAATAAAAAAAGCCAGCTGGTGCTTATTTAAAAGTCTATTTGACACTATAAGACTCCACCACAGAGTTTGCATTTTTCTAGTTTCCTTGAAGTTGAGAAATCTTTCTTATTGTGCCATGGATGTAATAACCGGCCGTTATCAACTCCAATTTCTGTCCAATGCGGTGTAAACATTCTTTAAAAGCACCATTACAGGTCCCTAATCATTATAGTGACTACTGTTTTTCTAACTGTGCCAACATCACAATGTACACTTGTAAGCAACCATGCAAATGTCAAAGTCTGGTTGAGAAAGAAGAAGCAACAAATCTCTCGTGCATTATTCAAGTTAACTTTTTTAATTCGTCACATTAGTGAGACACGCAAATTTATTTTTTGGCCAAATAAAGGCAAAGAATTAAACAACGGATTAATTAAACACCCAAATAATCGATTTGTAAATATTCTGTCAAAAAAAAAAAACATGGAAGACGATTGGGGTATGTTTCTAAAAGTGAAAGACGAACGAACACACATTCGAACCCACAGTTTTTCAACGCTCAAAGGAATTTACACTTCCATCTAGCAAAAAATATATGTGGCTGCCATGTGCTCTCTGATCGATGGCCACACACAAAAATATGAAACTTGTAACCTTGTTGGGAATGTAGAGATTGCGAAATTCCGTTCAGTACCAAATTGTTACTTTTCGGATAAATATTATGCAAACGATTTTATGTTAATGTCGATGTGTCTGCAATATTAATACATATTGTATGTGTTTTTTGTGTTTCTAGAAAGTGCTGCACACAGACCTGTAGTTGTGATACCCGATAAAATAAATAAGTGGGCTGGTGAAGATGAGGAGGATGACATTAAGGTATGTGGTTATTGTGATTTGAAAAATTCCACCAACGCAGTGGGTGATTTTTGTCAAGGAACTCCCCCTGCTTGGCTGCATTGCTGCCCAGATGACACGTGTATGCTTTTTAACCAGCAATTCATTTGTGTGTTTTTTTGTATTGTTGTCTGCTCTTGCGAGTGTGTGTGATTGTGCATGCACAGTCAGCAAGTGAAACCATGATACAAATTGCAATGCCAGAAATATGCTAAGGAGTAGAGTACCTAATAATGACTAACAATATTTTCTATTGACCTCTGCAGGACAGCTGGGAAGATGAAGAGGAGAAAAAAGATGAGGAGAAGGTTGAAGAACAACCAAAAGCACCTGTAAAAACAAAGCCTAGCAAAGCATTAAAAGCTAAATTGGCTGAACAGGAGGTGAGTATTTTGGGAAGGAGGGATTATAATTCGAGTCATATTTATAAAGTTTTTAAGCAATCTAGGTGCAATATTAAAATAGGGACAGCATTTTGGCTAGACCAAGTAGAAAAAGTGTAACTCATACCCCGCTGTAACATAAATAAATTAGTAAATTACTTCTGTTTCATGAAGCTTTAATATATTCTCCCTTGGTCAGATTCTACAAGAAAGAATGAAGTAAAAAAATGTCACCGCCTAATATGTATGAAAGTAAAAAAATTATCTATATAAAGGCATACATTTATCTGGATAGTAATTCACGATGAATAAAAATGAAAAACTAATCTGCAAAATTAAAGAGAAAAGAATTGATATCATGTCATATTAGATTACTGAGCGGAATTAATGTGTTTGGGATATCGACCTCAGGCCACATGAGATATTTGTTTGCAAAAGATAAGTTTCACTCTTATAGATAGCCCTGATTTACGGATATCATCGATTATAGGAATTTTGGCTCTCTTGTTAAGACTTTCATATAGCAATTGAATTCATTTAATTTTATTTTCGTTTACAGAGACTGGCAGAAGAAGAGGAGGCCAAACGTATTGCCAATATGACACCAGAAGAGAAATTGGCTGAAAAATTACGCCTTCAAAAAATTCAGGAAGAATCCGATTTAAAGAGTGCCCTTGAAACATTTGGTGTACAAGATGTTGGTGGTGGCTTAGATGCATTCAATCCCAAAACTGAAGCTGAATTTAAAGAATTTGGAGCGACGCTTAGTTGGAAATTGTCACAATACAAAGAATCGCCACATTTCCCGCAATTTGTTGAAGATTTAGTACGCAGCATATGTGTTAATTGTGAGTATTCAAAACGAATATACCAATAGTGCGACTTTGCATTTATTTATAGTTTCAGCAATTAATAATTTTGTCGCTAAATTAATTACTAAACTACTATTCTTACAAATAATAACACAAAATACTTTTATAGTGCCTCTTACCGAATTGAAAAAACTTAAAATGAGCGTTGAAACATTGCACAGTGAAAAGGTGAAATTAGAAAAACAAAATGCCAAGAAACCCGCTTCCAAAACTAAGGGCAAGATCACACTGAAAAATGATAGCAATGTAAGTATAAAAAATAGACGTTAGATCGTTTTAATTTGTTTTAGAAAGTTGTTTAATAATTAATAGAAAACCTTTAAGAGCGAATAGCTTCAAATTTAAACGATATCTGACTTCTCAAAATATAGAACTTTTTTCCAACTCAAAAGTTTGTTTTTTAAAAAATGCATCTCTAGTTGTTAGCATTAGAATTTATCTTTCGTTTCGTGATATTATCTAACATTCTTACTTTTTATTTCAGGATATTGATACTTTCAAAAAATACGGCAACGATTACTCCACTTACGATGATTACGATGATTTCATGTAAATCATGGCTCCTATCATCTTTACTATTTAATTCTGCCTCCATGATTACTCCGACTCCATTACCGTGAATATTGTTGAGCTCCAAGAAGAAAATAATTCTCACCTGCGGAAATGTTAATTTGTTATCAGGTGTTCATATAAATTTTATAAAAATGAATATTTTAGCACACAGGAATTTAACTTGACGTTAAAAGCCATTAACAACAAACACAATATTTTTGTTTTGTTATATAATTTTTTATTTTTTTGAAAAACAATAGATAAACAAAAACCAATAATAAAATAATAATATTCTTTTTTTGATATTCACTTAAAAAGTAGCAAGACAAATTGTAAATTAAAAAATGGAAATACAAGCATATGTATGTACAGAATATATAAAGATATACATGCATATGTGTTAAGCGTACATAGAACATCATTTACTTTTTTCGTGTTAATTATTTATGTAACGGTCGAAATGTACGAGTATTTTTACTTTTATGTGAATTATAATTTTTTTTTGTAAAAAAATATATTTATAATAGTAAAACTACAAATATGCAAATGAATGATTAATGGATCTATGGTATTACGGAACACCAAATGTGTTTTATGATGATATTATGTACGATGAGTATGTTTATCAGGCAGGTAACCACATCTATTAGATTAGGTTCAATTTTGCTCAAAAATATAATTTAAGCGTCAACTTATTGCAACTCTTTTATCTAGGCGTCACTGTAAAACAAAACATGGGTCAATTATGCATGACAAGAAAGTATCGTTAGGTGGCGATGTAATTAAAAAAAAATTGAAATAGAATGTTAATTGTTGGAAAAAGAGTCTCGAGAAAATTAAATTGTTTGGTGGCACCCCTTAAGGAAAACCACCGCCAGTAAAACCATTGACAAAGTCCAAAGAGTTGCATCGCTACTAATTACAGGCGCGTTTAGGAGCACACGCCAATCAGCCCTAGACACCCTATTCAATTTAAAACCGTTAGGTTTGTTGAGAAACAAGCTGCTATGGCCATTTCAATTCTATGGCAGTTCTGGAATGCAGGAATGATCTGGAAAATGTTAAATCGCTTCTTAAACTCTGTTGGGTCCCTGGGTCCCTGACGAAGCTGGACTTGAAGCTTCTGGTGTGCCTAATTACAAGACACTGCAACATAAAGGCCCTTACACCCGAAGGGGGGTGTAGTTACGACACTGAATACTGCAGTCAGGACGAGGAAGAAACTGAGGCGATGGAGCACTTACTCTGCCACTGTCCAACTCTTATAGGAGTGAGACAGAGGTTACTGGGTAAGCAAATTCTGCCAGACTTGTCCTCCCTCCGACATCGAGCCATCATTTCCTTCTCTCTATTCTATTCTCCTATTTTCTTAAATAAGGATAATGGACCAATAGGTCTCCGAGTGAAGTGGTTGTTTATACATCCTTTAACCTAACCTAACTTAGCGATTTAACAAAAGTGTATATTACAATGCAGATGAGTTTGAATTGTGGGTCCATTAATAAACAAAATTATTTATATTTAACTTTTATTTGTAGGAGTAATACATTCACAAATGTAAAAAATCATTTAGTCTATAAATTTTAATATGGATTTGCTTTATTGGATTTCGATTTTTTAGCTTTCAGTTTGCTTGATCCCGAACTATTAGTAGCCATATGCGAATCCGGTGTCCATATTGTGACAATACTTCCCTCGCCAGCAGTTATGAGTACATTTGTATTAGCATCGTAAACACTTTCTCGTACGATCTGTTTGTTACCATCCAAATTGGCAAATGGTAATAGTTTCTTATTTTGATAAGTTACCGAGCGCATAATTTCACTGGAATAGAAAATGTTTTCAATATTGCAACACATTGTAGGACAAGTTTTTTAACTTACCCCTTATTTAGGTTTGAACCTGTCAACAATAAAATTCCACCATCTGATGTGCTATGGGCATCGATGAGATTGCAATTGGCCGGACTCTTGCGCTTAATAATCTCCGTAATGTTATCCCTTTCGAATTCAGCCAACAAATCGCCCTCCTCTGATTCGTATACTTTAAAATCATTGGTATGTGTAATGCAGGATAACATGTCCTTTTCATATACGTTTTTATGCCTAAGAAAGAAAGTTAATATTAGTAAAGATTTTGGAAATGGAATTTTGTAAATTATTGATTATTATTTTAATATGGGATAAAGAAAAACTGCAAAGGCCATCAGCTTATAATCTTTTCCTTATGATCGCTTTACTGCTGACCTAGCAAGTAAATTTACATTGTATGTTTTTCTTAATAATAATTTCCGTTTGGAGGATAAACTAAATATAAACTTCCAATATCCTTACCAATTAATTTTATGCACACTACTCTCAGTGTTTATGGTTATGTTTAAGGCATCCTCCTCGCTAGCTTCTCTCAGGTCAAATGTGTTAATTAGGCCATCAGTTGAACCAGATGCCAGAATATCGGGGTTTTGTGGATGAAAGCGCAATGTGGTAACGTCACTTTGATGACAATCGAAATAGTCACCCATATGCTTCCGTTCCCTTAGATCGTAGAATACTAAGTACACGTTTGAGTGTAGCTCCTCGGTACCCGTACACAATAATCGGCTATTTGCATTACGATCAAAGCAGCATATATTTTTAGGTGCTGGTTGTGTTCCAATTATAGCATCATTTTCAAAACGTGCTTGCTCCTTCTGGGTTCTTAAATCAAAAAGTCTAACTATACCATTTGTTGTACCCACAAGTACCGCATTTGGGGTCTCATCAAAAAAGCGAACATCGCAAACTTTGATATTATTTTTAACATCCGGCAAAGCTGGGAGATCTAAGAACAGGGATAGGCCTCTTTCGGAACTAACATCGAGGATATGTACGGACGTGTCAGTTAAACCGGCTGCCAAACGCGTTAATGAGCTAAAATCGGGAAATATTAGTACATAGGGTGCTATAGCCAGTAACGGTTCCATGTACATACCTGTCTTTTTCTAAACTAAGGATATATTCTTTTTTCAGTGACAAAGCCGTTTCATCGAATAGTCTAAATTTCTGCGGATAGTGCTGTTCCAACTCGAAAGGTGTACATGTATCGCAGTCGTCCAAGACATCCTCTTCGGAATCGCTGCTAGCAGGCAGTGGAACATTGTCATCTGAAATGTATGATTGGAAAATGCATTATTATTGTATATTATTATATTAAAATAATATTTTACCGTCCAACATCGTAATTTGTTACTTTTTTCTAGAAAACGAAATGTAAACAATGCCCTGGAATGAAAACAAAGCTCAACACGTGCGTCAAGAAAGATATTCAATGCTATGAAGACAATAGGTTTGTCTTTCTAATCGATTTCCATTAACTTTAAAGATTTGGGGCCCAATCCACCTATACTGAATTATGTTTCTAATTATATATTTGTAAAGTAGTCAACTTTATCAAAGTAATCGTTCTTACTTAATCATTTCCAGATGGAGAAGAAAAAATGTATTTTCTTTTTTTAAATGCTGGTGCAAATATTAAAAAGACAAACCCTCTTTCTGGCTGGCTGCTATCAAGTCTACTTTTTTTTACATGTGGCAACTCCATTAAAACATTTTTGACATTTAGAAAATATGCATTTGTGAAATTTGTTTGTTGTGTGCGCCAAATTGTCTAAAGAGTATTTTTGGAAATTAATAAGTGAATAAGTGTAAAAGTCTCAAATTCGGAACTTAAAATCATATCTTTCCCAAAATCTAAAGATTTAATTGACGTTATTTCCCCAAGATGTCGTTTTTTGGAGCCAACAATTCGTTGGGTGCAACTAGCACCCCGGCTAAACGTGAGTGTGATCCGTTGTATATTTGTTGTTTTTGATGAGAATACAAGTTATTACTATTTTAGCTACCGGATTATTTTCCTCCTTTGGTACTGGAACAGGTACGGGCACAACATCGGCTTTTGGTACTACGTCGGCTCCCACACTTGGTGGGTTTGGTGGTTTCGGTTCGACGACAACAAGTACGACCACAGCACCGACTTTAGGAGGATTCGGAACATTTGGTACAGCTAATACGGCCACTTCATCTGCTCCCAGTTTATTTGGCGCTGCTAATACAGCTACATCAACTGGTTTTGGTGGTTTTGGAGCAACAGCTGCTAGCTCTCAAGCGCCAACGTTCGGTGGGTTTGGTACATCTACGGGTAATACAGCAGGTGGATTTGGTGGCTTCGGAGCGACATCTACCACATCCACAGCTCCAGCGTTTGGAGGTTTTGGCACTCAGACATCAACTGGAGGATTTGGATCCTTTGGAACAAGTAAGGCAAAAAATGGTGTCAAGACTACCATTTGCGTGTGACGCTTTTAAGAACAATCTGATTTTATACGTTTCTAACATAAATATTTTGCAGCGTTTGGGAAACCAGCCACAAATACAACAGTCACACCAGGTTTTGGGGGGTTCGGGGGTAACACCGGCTTTATGATGGGTCAACAGCAGCAGCAGCCTCCTCCCATCTCCGCGGATGAAGCTTTCGCTCAATCTATTTTCAATGTTTCCATTTATGGCGATGAACGGGACACAATCATCGCTAAATGGAATTACTTGCAAGCAATGTGGGGTATTGGTAAATCATTTTATTCACAAAATGCAGCACCGTTTGACATTACACCTCAAAACTATTTATGTCGGCTAAAAGCTATGGGCTACAGTCGCTTGCCAGGAAAGGACAATAAAATGGGACTAGTTGCACTGAATTTCAATAAACCCCTCGCCGATATAAAAGCTCAACAGCAACAGATAATCACTACATTGAATGGGGTTTTTGGTAATCGACCCAATTTACAAATAAACATAGAGTCAAGTAAGGAATGTGATGAAAAGAAAAGTCAACTTGTTATTTATGTTGAGGAGAGATCACAATTGGCACCCAACGATACAAAACGTATTTTGGCCACTGATTTGGCAAACTATCTAAATCAGGCCAATGTCAAGGGACAGCTAAATAATTTGGGTGTTTCAGAAGTCTTGGCTTTGGTATTGCCTGATGAAGATCAACTAAAGGAATACCTTGAGAATCCACCTAAAGGTGTTGATCCTCGCATGTGGCGACAAGCCAAGCTTGATAATCCCGATCCCACAAAATTCATACCGGTTCCAATGATTGGTTTCAATGATTTAAAATGGCGTATAAAGTGCCAAGAAAATGAAACTCAAACCCATACCTTGTATCTGCGTAAAGTCGAAAATGATTTAGCCGAGTTAAGACAAAGACATACAGCAGCAACTGCAAAAATAATGGAATACAAACGTAAATTGGCCGAATTAAGTCATAAAATATTGAAGGTGTGTATTTTTGGTATCCATATCTCTAACAAGAATATCACTTTAATAATTTTCGTTTTTTTTTTCAGATAATTGTCAAACAAGAATGCACACGTAAGGTTGGTTTGGCACTGACGCCAGAGGAAGAAAATTTACGCTCCAAATTAGAAAATATGCAAGCTCTTATATCGGCTCCCACACAATTTAAGGTATGCTATGAATATTCTCGTTGAAAATATCTGGTAATATTTTCTTTTTAATTTCTAACAGGGTCGTCTCAGTGAATTGTTGTCTCAGATGCGTATGCAACGGAATCAGTATGCCCTAACTGGTGGTAGTGAATATACCATCGATAAAGATTGTGAGGAAGAAATGAAATCCTTTTTGAGCATGCAACAAAAAGCAATGGAAGTTCTTACCGATACTGTAACGAAAGACTTGAAAGCTCTACAAATTATTATTGACGGAATGCCAGAATTGGTTCGAGGTTGATATCGTTTTTTCTGTTTTATTTATTTAGGTTTGTTATAAGAGTTTTTTGAAAAAGTAAATTCGAAATTTTTATGAAAAAAATAAATTGAAAATTACTTTCATATAAAAGTATGATGTTATACAATTTATTCCAAGTAAAAACTGGTCATTTCATTCGAAAAAGTAATAGACGGATTACGTTGACATGAAATAGAAAATTGAATTACGACATAGGGTGCAGATTAAATTGCCTTCAGTTTTCGTTCCTTCAAGATTCTAAAGATTAGCTACACAGACGAGAATTGTATATACATAACAAAATACATTTTAAGTATATACCTTAATATGTACTTAAATAGTATGAACTGAATTTTTTGTTCAATTTTTCATGAATCAAATTTACCCTAATTTTACTATATCTTCCCGTAAATTAAAAAAGAAAAATCAAGCAATATAACACATTTGCACCAATTTTACAAAATTTCCTAGTTGACTTGTGAAGTTGTTATGCTTCATGTCTAACTTTGAACTTGTCTTACTAAAAACAAAAGGAAAAATAACATACAATGATAGGAAACAGAAACAGGTTCACATCCTCAACATGTAATCATACGTACAATATCTTGTTTGATATGCTGTGACACCCATACATCTGCACTTCAGTAATGGGAATGTCAATAAACTTTCAAGTAAATGATCCAATGAAATTATTTCACTTTTCTTTGGTTGACTGAAACGGGGCTGAATGCTTGGAGTTGGGTTGACTGGCTACCTACAATTTACACACAATTAGTTTTATAATCAAATTGAACTCATTACACACATATGTTTAGGCCTACCGCATGTATTTTTGTTTTGGAAAAATCCTAAACGTATGATCCAAAACCAACAGAGGAAAACAGGTTGCGCATGCGCCTACATCTTAGCCTAAATATAATGCTCTCTTATGATGGTCTGGTTTTGTACATACATAAGTTATGTATGTCTCATATTTTTTGCTGCACCATAATACTAATATTTGTTGCAACATGTAATCAAAACACAATTTTTGTTGCATTTATGCGTATGTATGTCTTTGTGTTTCGTCGCTCAATTGTATGTACTGGGCAAGGAAAGATTTTTTTGTAACATTGAAAGTGCCACTTCTTTCTCAGCTAATGTGGAAAAATCTCACAATGAAATTTAAAACAGGTTAATTTTCCAAACGAACATGCAGAAAACAGCGCTGAAAGTCGTAATGTCTCTGCTAATACCCTATAGATGGTAATTTTTGCAAGACAAGAGTTATGTAATGTCTTAAATGAAAATTTAAATAACGATCATGGTGTATTTATTTATAAGGTATATGAATGAATTACAACAACCTAAAGTTACAACATTGTTGTTATAGAAAATAAATTGTCAATCAAAGAAATTAAATGATAAGGTCTTTCAGTCAATGTAGATTTAAAGATATCCCCAAAAATAGCTTTAGAATTGATCTGAATTAGTCTGATCGGAAGGTCTGATCTAAGAATCGTGGTAAGAATACGGATTGATCACAGCAGTATATGACCTCAAGATGGGGTAACAGTGTTCCTGATTACTGTAGACTATGTTATCCAACAAAAGGAGTAGTCTATTAGACATAGATTCCATCCTCATTTACAAGTTTGCCAAAAGCATACCCTGGCTGGGCAAACCGCCCTGATATCTGTACTTCTCTGTATAAACCCTTTCTCCTCTTTCTAGATTCGTTATCTCTCCTATCCCTAATAACTTTAATCTTCCAATGATGAACACAATGGGCCAAAGGTTTCCGAGTGAAGCAGTTGCCGAGTCATATGTCTTTAAACCAAACCAAATTTAACATTTTGTACATACGTTCTTTCTCCTATCACCTGTTCAATTTTAAATTGATTAAATTCTCAAAATTTTAAGACCCTACGAATTTAACACTAATTAACAAAAAAATTAGAGAAACGGTTAATTGCTTTATTAGATACTAGCTGAACATGGTGCGCTTCGCTACCACTTTGCTTTTAATATTTTGTTGTTTAAAAAAAAATCAAACATTTAGAAAACGGATATACAATTTTTTTTCCTTCATATCGATAGGTATGTCACGTGAACATTCCACATACAGTAGACCATGAGAAAAGCAGGAAAATGCTAAATTTTGTTCGCGTGCATGAGGAGTTTGTCTTTGCGGTTTATTAATTGTCATAGCAAATGCCAACCGTACAAAAAACTTGGTGCATCAAATACACGATATCAGGCGAAAATTTATAAATGAACTATATCCCAATCTGTTCCGATTTCAATATAATTTTAAAAATTTATTTCCAGATCTCATTTGGCAGAAAATATACAGGGTGAGATAAAAAAACTGGAACCAACTTCAGACTGCTGTCATATCTGAGCCACTCGTCAGTAACAGTCCATTATATTGTTTACAAAAGCATTTTGGTGAGAATATTTGGCTGGAAAATCACAAGTGGCTATCGTTAGAGCACTCCAGCATTTAAATATGAATAAATCGTTTTTGTCTCGTACCATCGCTGGTTACCGTGATACTGGTAGCGTAGCCCGACGTCAAGGAACTGGACGGAAGAAAACAGCAACATCAGCAGAAATGGTTCGAAAAGTAAAGAAGCGACTTGGTCGAAACTCACGTTCCAGTGGCCGAAAAATGGTTCGTGAGCAGAACATATCGCAATATTTCATTCGGCAAATATTGAAAAATGAGCCAGGGGTAAAGCCATTGAAATTCCAAAAAATGCAAGAACTTACACCGCAACAGAAAGAAAATAGACTCAAAAGAGCTAAAGAGTTGCTTCGCTTGGCCGAAAGTGGTGAACCGCCATAGTGGTGGTTTTCTCCGATGAAAAAACATTCGTTGTCTAGCAGTTTGTAAACAAACAAAATAATCGTGTTTACTTGCCAAGAGGTCAGCTGAAAATGTGCACCTTCGGATGGCCAACAGAACTCAACCCCAGTCATGGTGATGGTTGGGCCGCCATAACAGCCGATGGTCGCCCTCCGCTCGTATTAATCGACCGTGAGTTATTGCCGAATATTATCGCGAAAATATTCTGGAGGGTGTATTAAAGCCTTGGGCACGCAAAAATTTTGTCCGCAGACCTTGGACATTCCAACAGGACTCAGCACCATCGCACTCAGCACGCGCCACCCAGGAATGGTTACAAAATGAGGTTCCTCGCTCCATTCCAACGGCCACCGTAGATTTTGGTGGCCATTGGGACTATTGTGTCTGGAGTATTTTGGAAAGCAAGGTTGCCACTAAAAAATACCAAAGGGTCGATTACCTCAAGCAAGCGCTTCCCATCGTGCGACGGCATTGGCCGTTTGAAAGCCATAATTCGTGCCCAATTCGAACAAATCTAAACTTATTCTAAAATTTGAAAAAAAAATGTACAAATTATGGCGTTTGCCTTTGTTGCAGTTTTTTTATCTCACCCTGTGTAACCCATGGTACAATAAACTCAAGGTAGGACTATGATTTTATTTGTTTTTACTTTCTTGGCTTAATAGGTCAAATTTCTTTGTTTAGGTGTGTGTATTCTTTTCAATAATAAAAAAAAAATCAGAAATTCAAATTCTGGTGTTTTCAAACTTATGGTTCGAAAAAATCTGCAGTTTTTGTAGCGAAATTAAACTTTAGAGATTTATAGAACATGATTTTGAAATGAAATGTTGACCTTTCATTCATTTTTCGCTGTTTTCAATCAAAACTTCATCGGAACTTAACCCAATTAAATACGAGTTTAAAAAGGTGAAATATTTCCTGATAAATATTTCACAATATTCTTGTTTTAATTATTTAACCTGGAAAGTTGTCCTTTTTCTGAGAGTATTGAATGCAATTAATTAAAATTTAAAAACAACTGGAAATCTCAAATATTGATATAGGGTATCCTATAATCACCTACAGTTCACTTCAGCTACTATTTACCTGTTTTTCAATGCATTGTTTTTCTCCAAGCATCCCGAAGTAATGATATCTATGTTGGTGGTATGCGTGTGTGAGTTTGTGTGCTTTTAAACGAAGACTTCCGAGCTTCCGTTTAAACATCATTATGATGGCACATAGCATTTTGTGGTATAAATGTGGCTGTGGTTTGCATCTAGATTTACTACAGCAGTGACCAGCGGAGTTAAACGTGGATTACACAAAAACGAACGCAACTTTGCAACATCGACAGTGATAAAGAAGGAAAGCAATTCCAAAAATGTTTTTCAAAGTTTTTTTAGTGAGTGGCAAATATTATAAGTGTAACTAGAAAAAAAAATTAACTAAATGTGTTTTTATTTTAAGGTGTTCTTTATCGCGTATGTGGGTATTTTAGAAGGTACACCACCTCCATCGCGTAATAATAAAAATCCTCAAACGGAAGATTTACATCCAATGCATTCACATATGATAACGATTGAACGTTTGGAGGCACTTTTAAGGAGGGCAAGTGAAATATTCAAGCCTCATCTTGATGCCAGACAAATTGATCTGCCTTCATCAGAAAGCCAACAAGTTGCAGTGCCCATGCAATATATGCAGCCGCCCAGTCAACCTTATAACTTCTATTTACCATTATTTGATTATGACGATAGTGAAGAAACCCATCAAGTGAAACAACTTGATGGCAAAAGTCGTAAAATGGATATGTTTAGCCCACCTCCCAAGCCTAAAGACTCAGACTCTGTTGCTAAGAATTTTTATGATACAAAACCTAAAAAATCTCCTAAAAAATTTAATGCTGCCAATAAACACATCAACATTAAATGGCTGAATAACTATGAAAAGCAATTATCATCGCCTGGCAATAAACAAGCCATGCAAGTACCTAAAGATGTATACCTGATGAACGACGAACGCAATCGCATCAACTTTGATGACACTTTTTTCGCTGTGGATATGAAGGTTCCTGATAGAACCAATAAACTCGACAACAAACCTCAAAACGATGCGGAGCATGGTCAACATGAGGATTATCTTAATCAGGGCGAAGAGGATTTAATAGCAGCAGCTGCCATCCAAATACCATTAATTACAGATTTTACTTCCTTAAGGCGATTGTAAATTTTATACAAAGAAAATAAAATTTAAAGTCATTTAACTTATAAAATGTACATATATACACAACTTCTTTAATGATCCAAATATATTTGTAATGTATAATATTTAGTAGAACACAAAAATTACATTTACTTTACAAATATAACAAACGAAATTATAAACAAAACACTAATTGCACGTCATATTTAATAGGCTGCCACTGGTCCAGATTTGACTTCTTCGCCTGTTAAACCTTTGCGTACTACCTTTTCAATGTCGTCTAATAAACCAGAGGCACCAAAACGAAATAGGGCAGGTTGCAACCATTGATTTCCTAAGGTTTCCTTAACCAAAGTCATCCATGTGATAGCTTCACGTACGGTGCGCACACCACCGGCTGGTTTAAGGCCAACAATTTGTCCTGTTTTTCTTTGAAAGTCTTGTATAGCCCATATCATTACCAGACCCACGGGTATTGTGGCATTTACAGATTCTTTGCCGGTGGATGTTTTGATGAAATCAGCACCAGCCATCATACAAACCATGGAAGCTTTGTATACCTAAAAATAAAAAATATGTAAGTTATTCGGATTTGTTTAAGACGAATAATTTTTTAAATGAAAAACATGGACTTTATACATCTTTTAACGAATAACTTAATTTTGTATTATTAATGGAGGATTATTTTAAATCACGGTAAACCTAACGTGTACGTTATATTCTGTCCTATCGAAACGTTGAAGTTATATAAAATATCGGAAGTAAGTTCAATGACAATATTAAAATATAACATATGTGGATGGCTGTAAGTGTAACAATAAAACACATAGATCGGAATTTTATTGTTTTCCACTAATATGAACTATGCAAATTGCGGTGTATTTTATATGCAATCCCCTCTTCTCTGAGATATGTCCTGCGCATTTCTATTACGGAAACGAAAGGTCCTTAAATTACTTGCACTTATGTATTCGTTATTGATAAAAAAAAATGGGAAAATATGTATAATTGCATAGGCACTTACATTTTCCATAGATCCCAATTCTCCTATGGCCAAAATAGTTTTTAAATGAGCCTTATCCCCACAGGCCTTACGCATTTCACACACTTCATCGTATAGCTTCTTCCATTGTCCCGTCAATGCCAATTGACGATTTATGACAATATCAATTTCCTTGGCACCCGATTCAATGGCAAATGTTATTTCCTCTAAGCGCGTTTTCAAGCCATACTGGCCGGTGGGAAATCCTGTTGCTACAGCTGCAATTGGTACATTCGCTTTCAATTGTTGAAAACAACGTTGGGCGTCCGCAACTCTTGCTGGATAAACACATACAGCTCCCGTGTGGATTTGTTTTAATAAACTGGGCTCCACACAATTCTCCAATAAATGCAAAGGGAATGGAAAGGCAGCTCTATGACAAAGTCGTCGTACATTAGCTTCTGTATCATCACCGGCCAACGTGGTAAGATCGGTAAGTGTTAGTGCCTTCAGTGCCCAGACTACCTCATTGAGACCACTAACCTTACCACGCGATGAAATTTCTTTAGAGATTTCTTCGAGTTGCCTCAACGAAATTGTCACCTTCAATAGTTCAGCGTCTGTAATGTTTTGTTTACATTTTGATTTAGTGACAATACATACATATATTTCTAACACTTATGGAAGAAAATTTTACTCACCGAAGGGAAGAATTTTATTTACTTTCATTTTGTTCCAATTCTTTTTCCTAATTTTCAGCTAAAGAACTATGAAATAAAAATACTATATTTTGATCAGAAGAAATGTGGCCAGTCTAATAGGTTGACAATAAAAACACACACGCATTATCGGTATGTATGTGTGGGTGTGAAGTGATCTTATTACATAGTATAATAAACAGGGTAAAGACTTTTCATTTTGATAGTAAAAACTTTAAGGCCGATTTTTACATCTTTCCGATAGACAAAAAATATTATGGTGCAGGACAAATAAATCGTTTTTCGTTATAACATGTTTCAATTATGTATGAACTGCCCGATAAGCAAAAGGTCGGACTATTTTCCTTATATCTTTTAACGTAACATTTACTGAATTCTTTATGTTGATAAAATGGCAATGAACTGTTTCCATATGATTATCCATTTTCGATATAGACTCTTTTTGCAGAAATACAGACAAATCACAGGAACGAATTCGGTACGAAAGTGATTTCAATTTCGTATTTAGCCTCTTCAAAAATCGTAAAACGCAAGATTTTTTCAGCTTGAAACCATTTTTGTTTTTGCAAATGAAATTGTATTTTTATGGAAACTTGTGACTTCAAAACACACAAAGTTGTCTTAATGACAAATACACAATTAAATTTACATATTTTATATTTTTATTTAAAATAATTAGCAAATTTTAATGGTTTCTCAATTGACGAAGCCATTTGTTAACAAAGTGTTGCCACATTTTTTTTTTTTGAAAATCACTTTTTTCTTTAAACAAAAATTATTCATCTGTGAAAACCAAAAAATGTGGTATTACGAATAATAAACTGAAGCAAAGAGAAAAAACAAAACATAAAGAACACTCAAAAAATAATTTTTTACAAAAATTAAATTATCTTAATATATGTAAAATATGTATTGTGGAATACTGTTTAATCAATTAATCATTAATTAGTATTTTAGGGGCAGGCTCAGGGATTCAGCACAAGAAAAAATTGTAATAGATTTTATGGAGAGCCATAGATTTTAGAGGAGCTATGTCGAAAGTGATCGAGTGGTTGCAGAAACAAGTTTGTCACAATTCCTCGTAACCACCCACCAAAGATGGCAATGGGTGGAAAAAGACATGATGTGACTGGACAGTATACGTTAACAAGTAAAAGACTGAAAGTTCTGCAGTTCGAACTTTGAATACCCTCCAAAATTTGGAACAAATTTGGTAATTTTCAAAAAAAAAAAAAAAAAAAAATAAGATTAAACGCAGTAAGTTTGAACTTTGAACACCACTTGGTACGAATTTAGAAATTTTCAAATAATAAAATTCTTAAAAAATTCTGTTATAATTTTAAAAATACCGAATATAGCCGTTATATTGGGGTATATACGACGTGAAGCTACATATGCATTGTTTGTCATAAGCCACTACCATATTCAAATTCGAAACTTGAAATAAACGGTGAGCAATGTAGCTTAAATCATCAAAATATCGTATATAGGGAGGTACCGTTATATCGGAGCTGTGCGAAGACCTGGACCAACATAGACAATTTTCTGTGATAGGCTGTAGTATCCATTACAAACTCTAAATACGTAATTTGAAACAATTCCGGTGAATAATGACGCTAAAATCATCAAAATACCGAATTTTGGGAGGTACCGTTATATGCCCGTTATAGGCCCATTTACGAATTTAACCTGCCTACTGGAAAAATAAACACGTGTACAAAATTTTAGCCTTCTATCTCAATTCGTTCGAAAGATAGTGTGATTACAACAGACAGGCAGATGGACACATGGTACAATGCATGGTACAATGAATATAAGGTAGGCTGACTTTGAAAAAATTGCAAGTATAGAGGTCTACCTGTTTGGCTTGTAATGTCAGAATTAGTATAAAAACAATATAAAAACAAACAACTTGTTGCATTGATTTAGAATAAATAATTTAAAACCGCGAAATTTCTTTTCAAATTAATGTTTTATATATCTCTTATGGTTTATTTCGCGACAAAAACTGTAGATTTTGTCGATGCATACGTCGCAATAAGCAATTTAAAAATACCCGAATTTGAATATTTTCTGAACAATTTTTTTATTACTGAAAAGAATACACACACATAAACAAATGAAATTGTCGTATTAAGCCAGAAAAATAAAAAAATTAAAATCATATGGTAGTTCTGCCCTATCTTGAATTCATTGTACCATGGATGGACAGACAGACATACGGACTTAGAATTTTACGCTGATCAAGAATATATATATACTTTGTTGGGTCTGACATGAGTATTTCGAGGAGTTACAAACCGAATGACAAAGTTAATATACCCTCCACAGTATGGTGGAGGGTATAAAAATGACGTGGCTTTGTCAATTGAGCTAATTAAATAAAAGATTAAAAATGTAAATTTAATTGTGTATTTGTCATTCAGACAACATTTTTATTACTTTAAATTGAGTGTTTTAAAGTCACAAGTTTTCATAAAAATACAACTTCACTTGCAAAAACAAATGTGATTTCAAACCGAAAAAAGTGCGATTTACATTTTCTGAAGAAGCTAAATACGAAATTAAGATCACTTTCTAACTGAATTCGTTCTTGAGACATGTCTGTATATCAAGAAATGGAATTAAATCACAAAACGTCACACCGAATTTGACATTAGTAGTATAGAGTCAAATCAGCAGGGGTTTGCTGCTACCTGTAAGAATTATACCATAATGTGCCAGGAAATTATATTTGTTATGTCTACCACTGTAAACGACTGAAACTGTTTGACATATTAGGTGTGTCTGGTTACTTTTCCTGCAGGAATTGTCCAGCAACATCTTTCTGAGAGAGTAAGGTAGTTTTATTCTCTTTTGCAAGGAAATTGCGAAAAGTAAACAGACAGTATTCCTGCAGAAGCTTACAACTAATCAGCTGATTTGTCAAAACAAACCAATTTGTCCCCCATTAAAAGATTTAAAATAAAGGAACCACCACCAATTTTACAAGTTTTATAAATGAAAAGAAAATTGGCAATAAAATAAAAATATGAGCAATAAAAGAAAAATAGATTTAATGTGTTCTCCGGAATCCTTTAAACCTGTTGCTAATGGCATTTGTCTAAAAATGTTGGAAATAGTCTTTTATTTTTTTATTACATATTAATATTTATGTTTTTCACATTTTGTAAAGTTGTTCTCCAAAAACAATTATTCTTGCTAATTCCAAAACAATATTTTCAAATTAAAATCAATCAAATCAACACAAAAAGAAATAAATAAACAATAGAAAACATCTGATTGAATATCGATGTATGAGAAGAAGAAGAGTTGCAAGAGATTGCAAGAAGAAATTTGTCCAGCAAGAATTTGCAAACTCTCACTGAAAGAAATGTCAAAATTTCTCTCTCCAACCGCTCTCTTTTGCAGAACTTTCGGGTTAACAGACGACTTTCAGTAACAATTGTTACAAATTTTAGGGTAACCAGACACACCTATTAACACGTTGGGTAATTTGTAACCGATTTCAGCATTCATAACAACGGAGACACGGAAAAATATCCGACTAATTGGTGAGTTTTCATTTTCACGAATTCTTTTCGACAGTGGAAAATATTGATAGTTTCATGGACACGAATTCTTTTCGACAGTGGAATATAAAATAACACCGATGATCAACATGTAGGTATTAATATATTTATTGGGTGAATAGTGATTTTAAAATGCATTCTCTGTCTGGTTTGTTTTATAATTATAAGGAGGATTCGAAAATCACAAACACAAAGTGATATTCTTGTTAAACGTATGAAGGAACACCCCGAAATGGTTAATGGATTTCCGAAAGGCAAGAAAAAAGAGTCTGATGAGTTTTGGAGCAAGCTTACAGTGGAACTCAATGCAAATGGACCGCCCTTTAAAGAGACCGCCACATGGAAAAAGGTAAACTGCTGAAAATAGACGTACATACAAGTCTTCTTCCGTGTCAACCCTCATAAATGACCAATCACAACAAGTATGGAAATCATAAGTTGGGTTTATTGCAATTTTTGGATATATTAAAAAGCCTTTTATTCTAATATAGCTATAGCTCTCATATCAATCGGAAATTTTTACCATAGATATATCTTGGCCTCCAGATTACAAATATGTAAATTCTACGAGGTATTCATAACCGGTTTTCCGATTTTTTGAACCAAAAGTTCGGTAGAAAATGTAAGCTTAAGAAATAGCCTTTCGAATGATGTATCATTATGCTAGATGCCGAACCAGGTTTGGGAGTTAATTCAGATCGATCCGATAGTTGTAGCTAAATTAGGTTTGTTATTTATTGTACAGGGTGAGATGAGAAAACTGCAACCAATTTCCGACTGCTGTCATTACTAAGCCACTTGCCCGACAGCTGTTAAAATTACTCCAGTGACAGCTCATTATATTGTTTACAAGCATACAAAAGCATTTTGATGAGAATTTTCCCGAAAAAAAATTATTCGTCATGGAATTCAACCGCAACAGTGTGATTTCTTTATATTTGGTTGGAAACCCACAAGAGGCCATCCTTAGAGCACTTCAGCATTTAAATGTAAATAAATCGTTTGTGTCTCGTACCATCGCTCGTGATACTGGTAGCGTAGCCTGACGTCAAGCTAGTGGACGGAAGAAAACAGCAACATCAGCGGAAAAGCAAAGAAGCGACTTGAACGAAACCTGCGTCGCAGTGGCCGAAAAATGCCTCGTGAGGCCAATATTGAAAAATGAGCTCGGGGTAAAGCCATTGAAATTCCAAAAAGTGCAAGAACTTACACCGCAACAGAAAGAAAATAAACTCAAAGAGCTAAAGAGTTGCTTCGCTTGGCCGAAAGTGGTGAACTGCCGAATTTGCTTTTCTCCGATAAGAAAATATTCGTCCAGCAGTTTGTAAACAAACAAAATGATCGTGCCAAAGAGGTCAGCTAAAAATGTGCACATTCGGTTGGCCACCAGAACTCAACCGCCGGTCACGGTGATGGTGTGGGCCGCCATAACAGACGATGGTCGCTCTCCGCTCGTATTAATCGATCGTGGCATCATAATAAATGCCGGATATTATCGCGAAAATATTCTGGAGGGTGTATTAAAGCCTTGGGCAAGCAAACATTTTGGCCACAGACCTTTGGGCACTCCAACAGGACTCAGCACCATCGCAATCAGCACGCGCCACACAAGAATGGTTACAAAATGAGGTTCCTCGCTTCATTTCCAGCGCACAATGGCCACCAAAATCTCCGGATACTAATCCGTTGGACTATTGTGTCTGGAGTGTTTTGGAAAGCAAGGTTGGCACTAAAAAATGTCAAAGGGTCGATTACCTCAAGCAAGCGCATCGCCGGGAATGGGCCAAAATACCGCAGAGCAACATTTGGGCAGCGTGTGACGGTTTCATTGGCCGTTTGAAGGCCATATTCGTGCCAAAGGTGACCAATTCGAACAAACCTTAACTTATCCTAAAATTTGATGCTATTTCCGACATTACTTGCTTTCATTCAATAATTTAAAAAAAATTGTAAAAATTATGGTGTTTGGCGTTTTCGCAGCCTTTTTATCTCACCCCGTATATAATACAGTTTTAACTTGATACTTGCTTACAAAAGTTCTTATCCCCTGACTGGGCTACATACATATTTGTGTTTTTCTTTCCAGACTTGGAACGATTGGAAAATATATGTACGCAAAAAGGTCTCCGTTTACAGGCACTTAATAACGACAAAGACCGAAGTAGAGCTTCTTAATTTATTAGGTATGGCAGAAAAACGTTTACCATCACCTGCGAAAAAAAATCTCGAGGAAGATAATGTGATCGATGACACCTCATTATGTAATATAGTTTTTGGAGTCGATGATTCGAACAGTTCAACGGACAGTTGCCGTTCCAATAGCAATGAAAGTCCCTTGCCTAAACGCAAACGATTGCCATCTTCACAGGAGAATGAAAACACCGTATTAAGTGATACTTCAATTAAAGAAGATCTGATAGGGTTTCCTTCGCGTGAACCTTCACAAAATGCTCAAGATATCCCTAGTAAACAATCAAAGGTAGAAAATAAAACTGCCCATTGTTTTGACCGTATCTTCAGCACCTTAAATGACATTTATAAAATACAAAAAGAGACGAAAAAAGAAAATGAACGCCATCACAGAGCTATGGAGGAGTTGTTGCGAGAAAAGAATATGATTAAAATGAGGTCTTTGGAGCTACAAGAACTAAAATATAAATTTGAAATGGAAAAACAACAAGGCAATGATGTTGTGCATGGCACAAAACGTTAATAATGCTTTGCATTCACTTAATACATTACTTGATGAATTGATATTTTAATTTTCAAAATTAATATTCCAAATGAATTTGATATGTTGTAAGAAAATGTTAACTTCATATTTTGTATGAAGATAAAATAATTGCTATATTTTAAATATTTCATAGGAATGTGAAAGCTATTTATGGATTTTGATCTACTTCTTAATTTCGCAGAAAATGAATTACAGTTGCTTAATAGTTTGAGTATTATAAAATAATAAAAAAAATATGAAATTTTCCTATTTCATGCTGTGAAAAACAAAATTGAAATATTGTTGAGTTTTGTCTTTGTTAGGGCGAAGATCACATGCTTCGGACTTTATTTGCTTTAATTTGTTCTACTTAAGCTCTAAAACCTATCTTTTTCTAATAGCTCTTTTCTCTACTTTCCAAAGCACTTGCCATGTAAGCTATCCATACCAGCAATGTCCAACCAACCAACCGCGAAATGCTTCGAACAGTGGTGAGAGTGTTATAGCGTATCTCGTTCTTTTCTTTCACTGCAAACTTTAACCCTAGATCATAATTGTTTTTTTTTTTAAATAAGACTTTTATTTGTCAATTACATTTGTAGCATTTTTCTAATTTGAAAATTGTCGATAAAATCATCAATATAAAATTAACTATTATAAGTATAATGGAAAATCAATGAGGTTTTTCTAGTGCGTCATCGTCGTTATAATGAAACACATAAAATTTAGAACGCATAAAAACATTTTTGAACTATGGTAAGTACTAAAGAAAATTTTGTGACGTGCTTTAATACAGGTTAATTATATTTTGGAATTAAGTTGTACCCTCGATTTAACGATGTTTGGCCCATTGTTCCCAGTATTCCTTTTGCTGCATTTCATATAAACGAGATAGAGTTCGATCAAAGGCAAACATTTCTTCCTCGCCAGTGAAAACACTTGCCGACGTATCATTCTACAAAGAGACAAGGATTTGTAACTTCAATTTGACCATCTTATTTCAAATATATTTTACTTACCACTGTCAACTTTAAGTCGTCCATAAGCATGCGCTGCTCATCCGCTAACGGCTTGCCATCTGGTTTATCACTAAAATTAAACAATTGATCTAGAGGAACTTCGGCAGAAATTACGACACGTACACGATTGTCGTATAGCGTATCAATGAGAGTTATAAATCTACGCATTTGTGATTTAATTAAAAGTGTCATTTGAGGTACATTGTGTATCAGCACAGTATGGAAAAATTGTCCTATCTGTATATAATCACTTCCTCCCAGGGGCTAGAGTTCAAATGAAATAAATGTTTGTGAATATTTCGATTGATATAAATTAAGCATACTGATCCTTACCCGATCACATAATTCTTCAAATGTGCTATCTAAAACTTGTCCACAGGTACGCTGAAATGTTAAATCACGTCCAAAGTGAGTTATGGTACGTGGTCGAATGATATCGTTTTCTTGCGAGCATAAAATTTTAAACATTCGTTCCATTTGAGCCTTTGCATCTGTTTTGGAAATACTAAAAATAAGAAGAGAAGTAAACAGATTAATGTTGGCAAATATCTTTATGATGAAAGTAGGTGTAATTCTTAATTTTCCCAGTTTAAAAAAATGCACAATATATGTAACAAATATTATCCACAAAGTAAAGATATTTTTTACCATGCACTTACACAAAATAGTTCGTATCCCCCGATTGGGCTATACGTCGATAATCCACACCACTATCTAAAGCCGAAACATTGCAACGATTAAGCAGAACTCCAATGAAAGGTATAAAATTACTGCGTTGTAAACCATTTTTATACAAATCATTTGGATGACGATTACTGGTAGCCACACACACGATGCCCTCGTTAAAGAGATGGGTAAAAAGACTTTTCAAAATCATAGCATCAGCTATGTCTGTCACTTGAAATTCATCGAAACATATTAACCACGATTCGGCGGCAATCATTTCAGCCACCGGAAGGGTGGGATCAAATGGCAACGGTTTTTCCGAATTGAAAGCACGATCTTGTGGACCACGTTCCTGTTTCACCTGATGAATGCGAGAATGCACATTAGACATGAACGAATTAAAATGTACACGTTGCTTTTTGGGAATCTGTAATGTGGAAAACAAGTCGTTGTGTTAAGGTGTTTTGAAACAGGTTTATACCATTTTCACCTACGTCTACACAGCAGTCATAGAACATATCCATAAGTGTTGTTTTACCACCTCCGACGCTTCCATATATATACAGCCCTTTTGGTGCAGTTTCGTTGAGCAGCTCAATTTTTGGTGCAGCTTGTTCCTTTTTCAAAAATCTTCCAAATAAACCACCGCCACCAGACGTTTGGGCTTTTACAGGAGAGGGCGTGTAATTCTTTATGGCATGATACAAATTCTCCAGGTCTTGTGTGGTGGCCTTCTGAACTTTATCGGGTAACAATTTTTTAGATTCAATTCTCTTTTCATATGCTGACATGGGTGTGAGGAAACGCCTAGTCATCTTTTGACTAGGTACTGAGAACAACAGTACCTGGTGTTTGGCTTCCACCACTAGACGAACACCTAATTTGGACGACAACATCTTGGCCGTTGTCACCCTTTCTTCACCCTAACACGTAACACTAGCTCTTATATAATAAGTTTGTCGTTCAAATCCAGAATTTGTTGCTTTTGCTCTGTTCCGATATTGGATTTCGTCAACTATTTTCCACTAACATATTACATAAATACGCGGGATGCACTTCTGTGGCGAAGCGTTTTCTTTTTTTTGCTTTGTTGTGAATTGTTTCAAGAGCAAGGCAAATCTTTTGCCCACGGGCAGCCGTGAATTTTTTGTTGGCACGTCTTCGATGTTTCCTGGTTACATTTGACATTTGAATAGTTTTTGTAAACAATAACAGCTGTTGTTTATGTTTACATTTCCATCCACAGATGGGAGTGTGAATATCTTGATATTTAACGATAAATGTTAGTTTATACATCATGTCATGCGTATTATCGAATTTGTCATCCCTAATGGTTGTCAAAGAGTTTTCTTGCTACAATTTTTATCGTTCTGTCAAACCAATTTTGAAATTGAAAATTTTAAATGAAAATTTATTTAAATTCGTTAAAATTGAATTAAAATTTTTGACATATCAATATTCCCAAGCTTTGATGCATCTACCTGTATTCTTCTACCATAATTGTTATGTTAAAATTTTTGAATTTTGACAAGGATACTTGTCGGTAGATTTGAAGATATGAACCTGGCGTATTTGGGCAATACGGGCGTAAAAAATATTTTACCATAGTGGACAAGGTGAATATGTGTGTATGTTACGTTGAATTTTAGGCAAGTCTGCAATAAAAGAAGAATTAAAATCAATGAATAAAAAATCGTATTTTCGGGTGCGCATTGGAGATATTAACATGGTAGAAGAATACAGGTAGTTGCATCGATACAGCTGCTGGGACAATGAACTGTCAAACAGATTTTGAAATTGAAAATGTTGAATGAAAAATTATTGTAATTTGTAATAATTGTTGAAAAATGCATATTATAACAACCTCCGATTGGCGCCACATAAGAAAACATATAAAAATCTACTTATTTTTGACAAAACATTTAAAAATTTTTGACAATTCAATGTTTCTAAGCGTTGGTGTATCTACAATGGATATTAACCTGTTTTGCAATGGAACTAAAATTTTGAATAGTTTGCATCATATTTTTGAAAGGAAATCTATGTATATTAATCGTCTCTCGCGCTTTTTAATTCATTTTAAAATTGAGGGAAAATATCAAATAAAGCAACTCGTCGCATTTAATTTTGAATAATTGTGATAAGAAGGGCTGTAATGCAGTAGTTTTACAAACTTTATTTGCTTTCTCATTGATGAAGTTTTTTGGTATTATAAGGAAAATCATAAAATATTATTTTAATTTGTTAATCTTACTGCAAGTAAAAAAGCTGTAAGTTCGGTCGGTCCGATCTTTGAATACCGTCCACCATTTGGAACGATTTTGGCAATTTTCAAAAAAATAAAATGTTGATAAATCATCAAAATACCGAATATCGGGAGGTACCATTATATGGGGGCTATACGAAGACGTAGACCTGCACAAAAAATTTTCTGTCTTAGGCTGTAGTATTCATTACGAATTTCAAACACCAAATGTGAAACATTTCCGCTGAATAATGTCGCTTAAATCACCAAAATACCAAAAAAAGGGAGGTACCATTATAAGGGGGATATGCCAAAACGAGGACCTACATCACCCATTTTCAATACCAAAAGTCCTGCAGACATAATACACATTTGAGTAAAATGTTATGTACCTACTTCATTTCGTTCGGAAGCTAGAGTGATTTCCACAGACGGACGGAGATCAAGAATATATACATGTTAATATGTTACAAACGGAATGACAAACTTAATATACCCTCCTCTGGTCTACGTTTTTGCATAGCCCCCACATAACGGCACCACCCGATATTCGGTATTTTGTTGTTTTTGCCACATTTTCCACGGATTTGTCTAAAAATTGGTATTTGCAGTTCATAATGGGTTCTTGCTCCGGTAGCAGAACAATGAATATTTAGGTCCACGTTTTCCTATAGTGTACATATAACTATACCCACCGATATTCGGTGACGTATACGCACTTAAATTTACAGCTGAACTACTGGGTTTATTATTGTGTAGTTTGGGAAATTTTCATTCTTTAGTAGAGCTACTATTTGAATAAGAAATATGCATACTAGCCCTATAGTTGATTACGATGAATTGTACATTTTTAAAAATAATCTGCCTTTGAATATTTTGAAATTTACAATCAAACCCGTATTGTACTGCGTCATCTATTCTTTTGAAATTAGCTAGGTGTTAGTATATTGTCGCCACTTCATGTTTTTTGCCGAATATTTGCCGTTACAATTTGAAATATGTGTCACAAAAGCCATGTAATTTGTTTGCTTGTTGTTTTTTTAGAAATAAACTCCTCTTTAGATAGGTTTGTCAAGTGCCGTTTTGAAAAGATCATTAATTATATCTTTAATATGCTAAAAACTCTTGTAGTTTGAGGCGTTATTGTTTCACCTCCCCACATAGACATACATTTAGCTCTTGGTATTTTCGCTGCCTTTACTATGCCAATTTTGGATATTGTACAGTGGTATGTTACAGCTTATTTTTGACTACAAAAATTGTCACACCATCAAAATTTTCGTCGGGGACCTCAAAATTGCTATGAAATTCTAAATTGATTAAAAAAATATATATTAATTCAATATCGTTGAACCTTGTGCCAGTTTAGAATGTTAATAGTCCCATTTTCGATGGTAGAATTAAGAAGGTAAAGTCATGCAACAACTTTTTCAAAATGATGCATTTGATAACATCTCATTGTCAAAATGTATATTTATGAATTCCGAGATGGGAACTTGTTTTCTATGCAGTGAAATCTGGCAAGGTAAAATACAGAAAATGCAGGAACGGGGAAGCTTATTTCAAATGACCTTTCCTTCTAAATATTACCATGGATGGAACTTTTTTAATAGCAAAACTAGTAGAAGAGAAAATACCAAATAGATGAAAACAACTTGTTGCCTATAATTTTGAATAATTCTGATGGAAGCGGGCTGTATTTCTGTAGTTTAACGAAGATGTTTTACCTTCTTATTGCACCATGCCTGTATTCTTCTACCGTGCTTTTAAAGACAGCATCATTTGCTTGAACGTCCGTTTAGCCATGCGTCCATACCAAGAAACCTTAATAAGGCCATTTTTTGAATTCTATGTCATAATTGACGATTTGAGTGTCAAATTTTGTAAAACTGCATAAATTATATTCTAGAAAGACCACAGTATCGAAATCGAAACATGCCAAATGTGTGTCATAAATCATTCTTTATTCATTCACCTTTGAAATCATTATCGATGGAATGGCATGGCCTGTCAACAAATCGTTTAGGAAATACAATTGCCCGAGAGCAGTACCGTCTTCACAATTCCGAAGACGAAAACCTGTTTGTAGGTCAGACACATTTGAGCTGCTGGCTTGCAGCTTTGCAACTTTTTTGTTGCCACTTTTGTTTGATTGTTTTGGTATGGAATGAAGAAGCTGGCTCATCTCATTCAGTTTTCAAATGGGAAAAAAAGTAGAAGAAATACAAAAATAGAAAATTAAAAAATAGAAAACCATAAGACATGTCTATGGCATGGTGGTCGGATGGCTCATTGTCTGATAGAATGGTCTCTAGGTCGTCCACTTGTTGTGCGTGCGCCGGCAGCTTCTTTCTTTATCGATTTCTAAACAAAATCACTTCTCTTTTTGTTTGGCGGCCAACAATACGGTGTCCGTTGCCCGTCCATTGGACCAATTGAAACAAAAACGAAAAATGAGAAATAGAAAATTGAAATCGAAACTTTTGCTGAATGATTTTATAGCTCATTTAACATTGCCAACAATTAAGTTTTTAAATTAATTACAAATTTTATGCGATTTATTTCAATTACGATAATTAAGAGCTTTAGCAAATTTTGCATATTTATAAAATTTGTATGGATATTCGTTGTTTTTTATAAATAATAATATGGAAATTTGTTGGCAAAATGGAATGTCGAACCTTAACAAAAGAATGCAAGAAAAAAGGTTCGAAGAGAATTTAACCAATATTAATACCGTGAACAATGTAGTTTTGTGGGGGTCAAAAACTTTTTATAAAGAAAATGTTTTTCATTTCATATTTTTTAAGAGCAAGAATCAAGACCCTGACCCCTTAAATAAAATTAAAGAAGAAGAGTGAATGATTGTCATATCCGAGCGCAAGCGCAAGTCAGGGGTGGATGTTTTGCGATTACATATTAAAATATTAAAAACTCTATTTTAAAAGTCACAATCATGGTAAAATTAAGAAGGTAAAGTCATTTCCAATAAGCATATTCAGAAAATTAAGAAGGTAAAGTCATTTCCAATAAGCATATTTATTTTCTGCAGTATACCTTCTCAAATTTCACTAAATAATAAGTAAAAAAGCAGTAAGTTTGGCCGGGCCGAGCTTGGAATACCCTCCACCATTTAGAACGAATTTGGAAATTCTCGAAAAAGATAACATCCGCCAAAAATTCTGCTAACATCTTAAAAACACCGAATATAGCCATTATATTAGGTTCTGTACGACGCGCACCTACATAGGTATTGTTTGTCACAAGCCATTACCATATTCAAATTCGAAACTTGAAATAAACTGTGAATAATGTAGCTAAAATCATCAAAATACCGTAAATAGGGAGGTACCGTTATATCGGAGGTATACAAAGACCTGGACCTGCATACACAATTTTCTGTCACACGCTGTAGCTTCCATTACCAACTTAAAATCCGACATCTCAAACAATTTCGGTGAGTATTGTACATAAATCCTCAAAATACCGAATATAGGTAGGTACTGATATATGGGGCCTATAAGAAGACCTGGACCTGCATAGACAATTTTTTGTCAAAGACTGTAGTTTCTATTTCGAACTCTAAATACGTAATTTGAAACTACTACGGTGAATAATGACGCTAAAATCATCAAAATACCGAATATTGGGAGGTACAGTTATATGGGGGCTGCATAGACAATTTTCTGTCTTAGGCTGTAGTATTCATTACCAACTTCAAACACCAAATTTTAAACGATTCCGGTGAATAATGTCGCTAAAATCGTCAAAATACCGAATATAAGGAGGTACCGTTATATGGGGGCTATACGAAGAAGTGGACCTGCACAGACAATTTTCTGTCTCAGGCTTTAGTATCCATTTCGAACTTCAAATGCCAAATTTGAAACAATTCCGGTGAATAATGTCGCTAAAATCATCAAAATACCGAATATCGGGAGGTACCGTTATAT